CGTAGGTGTGGGTTTACAGGGTGTGCAGCAGAGGGGGAGGGAAGCGGTGGATATACAAGGAGGTGCATGAGTAACCGACAAAGGGAAGCACTCACCCACACAGAGAAAGAAAAGGGTTCTTGGGCAAGTGGGTATTCCTGGTGAAACCGCACCCCTGTGCCTACCCACCACCTCCTCACGGACTCCTACCTATTGGCTCTTTCCGAGGATTCCTAGCGGAAGTTATGTAGACATATTATACAAACTCACAGCTCATCTTCTTCTTTAAGGCCTGGAGGAGTTTACAGATCACGTATTGTTGAGCAAACTTACCCTACTTAAGGCAGCCACTTTTAGACCGATCGGAAGTGCATCCAAGCAAGAATATGTGCTTGGTTCAGAAGAATTTCCTTTTCTATATACTTTATTAGTCCTGAGAGGAATTTCCAGAGCGACATTCAACAATTTCACGGCAGATAATAATGCTTCTGACTGAACTAATTCTTACTCTTTGTTTTGATTATGATAAATTAGTTGGTCTGTATCAGCCTTCACACAGAACAGAGAGCCAGAGTTTTTGCTCTGAATATTTGTGGTTGGAGTGTCAGGCTGTTACGTGACCCACAGAAAAAGCTCTGCTGCAGTGCTTTTTCCAGATTATTCAGAATTATTCATCACTCATATCGTGTAGGTTGTTTGGGATCCTTTTTGCTTTGACTGAGTCAGTGTAGTCAGTAAAACAATGAAGGCAAGCAGGGCCCCGATGAACAACAGAAAGAGAAACGACGAATGTGTACAACATGACTACATTAGATATGAAGAGGTTACTAGCTCCTATATAAACAGAGCATGTAACCTTCAGTGACACTTGTTTCATTAACATTCAGGTTCAATCTATATGTGGCAATGAAAACTTCTGATACTGACTTCTATATTTATTGTCACTATGCTGATTTCTATGATTGCCCTATCCAGACTAATCCCAGATCAGCCGTACAACAGTTTGTAGGGACTCTCTCTGCATCTCACTTCTCTTAAAGACTGTCTCCTCGCTCCTCTGTCTTTTTTAAGGGCCACTTACCTGGGCATGTGTTTCCTGTTGGGGTCTTCAACTCAAGGCCCTCCGTCTGAAACCTGATGTCCCTACTCACTACACCCCCCTGCTGCCACAAACACCTCAGTAGATGTCTGAACAATCTGCAGCGTTGTCAACACAGTATAAACAATATTGAGACCCTCAATTTAAAAACTCAGGGACTATTTTCTAGACTTACTGTTGCAGTTGGTTTGAAATACAATCAGTGATAGTGTTCAGCATTGAATTTGACCTGTAACAATAACATTTCAAAAAACGAGTCAAAACACTATACCTAGTCTCGTCCTCTGTGGATTTGGGTGTCATAATTTCCTTTAATAATAATATAATTCTAACTGGTTCTTGGTCATTCCTTCAAAACGAATCCTCCTCCCATGAAAGATTGACAGGCTGTCATGTATTAGAGTGTGATGTTCCTCTCTGTTTAGTATGTTAAGTAACAAGGCCATTTTGACACTTTCAGTTTTTATCTTGGTCAGTTTCTGCCTCTCCCACACTCCTCTGTGTGATTCACTGTCACAGCTACAGGAATGGGTATTCCCCTAGTACGACGATGCAAAGCATAGTCACATTTTGTTTCACCTAATAACTCTGGAATTAGCTCTCTCTCTCTAACAAGATTCAGTGATTGGCATATTTCTTCTGGTACTGTTGGAGGATGAACCAAAGTCAAATGATTGTCAGGGTTTAAGGATTGATGGGAGAAACTATTAACTAGCTACTCACTGACATTTGTGATGCTGTAGTTTTACATTCGCCTTTTGAGCTCTGTCTTTTAATTTAAAAAAAGTATAGTTAGCAAGTATCTATAAACGACATCACTGTGATATGCACATACAACAACAGGAAGGTCAAAATGGAAATACAGGTGATAAAGCAATATAAAATCACCAAACGTTTGCTTTTTTTGCTGTAACTGTAGCATTCAAAGATGGGGTTAAAGAAGATGGTCCACCTGTGGGTCGCTTCTGCTTTGTTTGATTATGCATTTGTTCAGCATACTTGTGTATAAAACAAAAAAAAAACAGTAACACCATTCACTTCTGTAGAGTCCTATTCTGGATATCCAAATGAAGGCACTTAATCCTCACGGTGTAAAAATGTGAAATGGTCCTGCTTTAATTGGGGAGCTCTACAATGTCGGAGATTTGTAGTATCAACACTTTTGACTTTTTTAAACCCTGAGCTCAAAGTTTCATCCTTGCTGAAAAATATCATTGATCCAAGATTAACTTCATCAATGCATGATGTGGCTTTTGATTCCCCCATCAAAGCTGTTATGGATTTATTATATGAAAAACTTCTTTCAGTGAAAGCAGCAATAACGCCTGTCAGCTGGAGACCATAGAACTCAAATGTGAGACCCGTGTAAGAGCTTGTTCATGAGCTCATTGGTGGGCTTTACAGACTTTGTGGGAGCCTTGTAATCAGATAATATCCTTAATTTTTTTATGACATCATCATCCCAGCTTTTGCATGGGTGGGGTTTACAAGAAAACCATTCAACGGGCTAAAAAGACATTAAATCAATTGAATAATGTAGAATTGCATTGTCTTCCACCCTGTCAAGTAAAAAGTGAGTTATCATTTTAATTTCAGTACTTTTACATTGTCAGTGTTTCACTCTAAGTTACCCCCATGTTAACATTTATCCAAACTTTGCCCTTCCAAGAAAATTCTCCAAGAATAAAATAATACACTTATTACAGCCCTTACTTCCAGCTGAACCTTTCAAAGGGAACATAATTAACACAGCAAGCAGCTGTCAGTCATTTAGCGGTCAGAACTTTTCACGCTCTGTGCCCGCCCCCACAGCGGGGTCCCTGAGGGAGGCTCGCCCACCATGTGAGAAAGTCCTGTAGATTAGTGTGAGGGGGTCCGTCACTCCCCAGTGAACACCAGAACAAGAGTCAGAGGCCTCAACACTGCCTGGTTTGTCACGATGTAAAGGTAAACCACTTTAACACCTAAAAATAATTACTGTTTAGATTTGAATATTATGTGAATGGGACTATACTTTAATGCCAATTCTTCATTTTATTGACTTGACTTTTATTGTTTGGCTGAATACGAATGTCAGATTCATTTGCTGCTGTTTTCTCTTGATGCTTTATAATGAAATTAAAAGGGCAGGGGGTGCCACGGAGAGTGAGCGAGAACCAAGCACTAAGATATGGGAAAATGTTGCATGCTCAAATGTTGACTACCTGTTGCTATGGCAATGGGTTTGGATCCTGCGGGCTGCAGGACTCTTGCTATTTCTAAATAAAGCTTTTTTTTTTCCTCTCACTGATCAGCAGATGAAGATCCTCACAGTTGAAACTAATCTTCTGAATATTTTATCAGTCTTTGTAAACACTGGTGCTCTGCTCTCTCTTTCTTACTGCTGAACCTTCTAAAGAGCAGTTTTAAAGAAGAGAGGATGAACAATAGAGGACACATGCTCTGATACTGCTGCTACATTTCCCACATTAAATAATTAATATTTGTAAATGAATCATTACAAAGTGTATCTCAGTCATTCTGGCATACACACTATGTGCTTATGACTATGGAGTTGTACATTTGTATTTGGCACTAAATACCATGGCAGTATTTCATCAGCTGCCAGTTGCAGAATTAAAAAAAAAAAAAAAAAACACAACCTCATTTCATATAAATTGTTACCATATAACTAAGATTTTTTAATCTATACTTGTCAGGAGTATAGAATGAATTTATTTTTGAGAATATACATTGGAGGGATCATGTCTGGCTTTCAACAGTGACATATTTTGTATCCTATTTTCAAGTGAGATCATTCTACCTCAGAGCAAAATGTGTTTTTATCATACCCCAGATGTCTTAATGAATAAACTCCACAATTTACCATTCTACAGTATGTTCTTAGACTGCATCCGGAAAGTAAAAGGCAGCTGGTTGTTCCTCAGCCCCTGTAAACTCTTATTTTTGTTTTATTCTTGATGTGTTCTTCATGCAAACTCAAATGTCTGCAGAAAGATCACAGGAGTTCAGAGAAGAGCCTCTTTTCCTGCCTGTCTTTTGTCCTCACACGCTGTCTAGTAACACAGTACCTCTGTCACCCTGCGGAGGGAGCCTGTGTGTGCAGAAATAGGTGGTTGAACTTATACTTGATGCCCGTGATGGGGACTTCCATGCTTACCTCAAGTGGGTTTTGGGCCATTTCTCGGACAACATATTTGGTCTTTATCCTCCCACTCGAGGATTTTCGTAGCCATCTTGCTTTAAGCAGCCAAGTCTGTTAAACAAGCATTCCTGTGTGAGGTGCCTGACTGTGTGCCTCGTGGAGCTGGGGGAGTTTAACCTGACAAGTATACAATAGAAATGATTATGAAAAATATCATTGCTTCACTTCAGGTAACATGATATCTGTCACTAGGCAACAGAAAGTTAATATACAATTAATAATGTGGGAAATTGCTTCCTGGAAATCCTCTCACTGTTTTAATTTGCTGAGGAAATGTCTTCAGATATGAATATAACAGATCTTTCATATATTTGACTTTCACACATTTTTATCAACAGTTTTATAAATTGTCTGGTAATGGGGGCTTCATGTATAGTTATTTTTTTATTACCAGCTATCAATTATTATCTTTTCTAATCATCAACTCTGTGTACTTTTGAACAATACTTGCTAAAATCACTCACACAACAATATCTAACATAGTGAGAATAAACTGCAGGTTGGTCTGTAACAAATAGATCTTCTCCTTCATCTTGTGTTTGTACCGTGGCTGATAATTCAAAGACTAACCACAGAGCTAAGTGCTCACAGAATCATTCTGCTGTGGAAGAAGAAACGAACATAAGCATTGAGTTTGTTAGTTTTTATAACATTTGTCTTACCTTCAAAAATGTTCAAATAGGTTATACCTGTGTGTTTCTGTGTCTGTTTTATCAGGGCAATGCACTGAAGAAAGGAGAGATCGAAGGGACGACCCTCACTGGTGGTATGGTTTGCAATAAATAGTTAATTTTAAAAGCTTGTCTATGGACTTTTTCTGCTGATTCCTTGATATTTGAAATATAGATAGAATACACATACAATACACACAGTTTGATTTATGTGCCTGTCCATAGTCAACACAGTCAGTATGACATTTATAAATACATTTATTTAACATGTATTTTAATGACATAATCCCTTTTAGTTGTGGAGGCAGCATGATGTTGTTGTATATTTTACATTTATTGTTTGTTTTGTTTTATAATCATGTGAGTCCAGTTAAGCCCTTAAGGTTTTTAATGTGTAACACTGAAGTTGCTCCAACTTTTTTTAGTTCTGCATCTGACATGTCTGAGTGCTGTAACAAGTGTTTTAGTACAGCAGACAGTCAGACATGAAGTTTTTTGTCTTGCAGAACAGGTATTAAAGATCATGTGCGACATGCGAAAAAAATAGAAGTCCACTGCACCACAAGTTCATGGTTACAACTTAATGGAACCATCGTGACCACTGGTTAATCGTAACTTTAAAAAAGCTACTCCATTGTTTCTCGTGTTGTTTTTCCCTGCAGAATATCATCCTCCAACCCCGCCTAAGAAGACTGGTTTGCACCGCTACCAGTTCATGTTGTTTGAGCAGCCTCCAGACACATCGGTGTCCCTGGCTGAGAAGGAGAGTTCATCCCGCGGTAATGACTCAACTCACCAGCACCTTCAGTTCACAACATTTTGGTCACTGCAGTATCATTCATCATACACCAACACTAGCTGTTGAATCAGCATTAGAGAGATAACAACAAATCATTAAAAGTCAAAGCTTGAATGTTTCCTCTTAAATTACCGACGTTATTGTATTTTGTCCTTGTCGTTTTTGTTCTTTATCACACTACTGCAAGAATTCTTTTTAAGCATCAGCAAGTAAATATTTATATTCTTAACACAAAGTAGGAAGTTGTGTCATCTGACAACATAAGAATGATTTAGGTATTGCCTCATTTGTTTGAGTGGGCTTAATCCTTTATTTAGAGTGACGTGTTTCCGTATTAACAAATGTCTGTATCTATTATTAGTGATTTGATTTGTTACATAATGTACTGGAAATAAACTCCAGCCAGACCACAGAAACCCACTTATCTCGCTGGTGTGTACATTAAGAGTAAAGCACAAACAGTTATGTGTATTATGAATAATTAATCGAAGCATTCAAAAAAAAAGATGATTTTCTTTTCAGATGTTTCAGGTTAACAATGGACATGTTAATGAGTTTAGTGAGTAAGTCTGCTGCAGTGTTGACGCCTGCGGGGTCAAGACGAGTATTGTCAGCTCCCACGCACACCTGCACGTGTCTGTCTGACCACGTCCCGTTAACCTCAACCAAACCTGAAATCTGTTTCCTCCATGTCCACACACATGAATAATACCATATTCAATATATCTATGTGATATCAGATGGTTTGTACCTTAGTCGTGCTTGCCTAGCAGAAGTAAGAGTTTTTGTTTTTCCAGCTTTTCTGACTTTTCCTTCCCCTGAATAAAAGTCTCTTGAAGGTTTGGGAAACTTCACCTGGATGTTCAAGTACAGCACCTCACAGGAGGCGTGCCCGTCTGTCTGCTCTACTCGGGTCACAGCCGGTGATTTGAGGGGAGATTGGGGCGGTTTGAGACTTCAAGCGCTGTGGACGTGAATGAGTGAAGCTGCCAGTCTCTGTTTGAAGTTTTGACAGCTATGTCAGCAAACAATCGAGGCACATTAGTTTGAAGTCTGTTTGATGTTGATACCTCTGGAAGAAAATAAATGTCAATAGAGATGGAATTTGGAGTATTTAACATATCCAAAATTCAGATTTGGGAAGAAGAACTCCTATCAAATTGTTATTGTAGTCACTGTGTCAGAACTGGTTAAGCTGAAGAAAATCACAGCGTGAATAGTTGCCTGCTGTTTGGAATATTTTAATATCATTTTTGGGCCACATGATAAACTGGAGCATCCTCGTTTCTGCTCTGATACTGTAGTTACGCCCACATTATGAAGCGATTGAACTGAGTGGATCCACCCATCCTTAATCTACTGGATGAGTTTAACTCGCGCTGCTGTACTTCCTCTCTCCTTCATACTACTCTCTCTATTCAAAGGAAATTAAATTAAAATATTCACTCTTGGATAATCAAATGTTTATTTGATGGGTCAATTTTGAAGAGGTTAACTGCCCTTGAAAAGAAGGGAATGGCTAAAGACTGTGATATATTGAGACTGAAAGCCTAGTCCTTCTCTATTAATAGGAAACATTTCAATTTAATGTTTTTTATTGGCTTGGTTGATTTCTGTGTCGTACCTGCTGTTTTATTTTTGGCTTCTACTTGGCCGTGATGATCACGGAATTCCTGCTCAGACAAGAGGAACGGAGGGAATCCCACGTCTCCCCACCTCCTCCGTTAAGTATGTTCACTTATTAGCGTCTGTCCTCCCTCCATGTGGCATGACACAGAGAGCATTTTTCATAGCCCATGACATTAATTGATGTGATTTGCAAAGGGGAGAGCATTTAGTCGTGGGTGGGAGACTCCTAATGATCGTTTTCCACTTCCAGTCGCGCAGTCATTGACTCAATTTTATTGCAAATTTGTCGTCTTTTTTTCTTTCATCTCTGACCATCACTTGAGTAGTAAAGTGGGTGAACAATGAGAGGTGGAGCAGGGCTGTTGTGAGGACTGTGGGAGTCTGCAGTGCCTCCTGTGTTAAGGTTATGAATATGGGTCAGTGAACTGACGAAGACAGCTGGTTTGTGACACAAGGAACTACAGGGGGCTTCGCTCTTGGCACGGGGCACAAGGGCGTGATCGTGGGGGGAATCCCCTTCGCTCTGGCTCAGGAAGGCTGTGCCTGACTGAAGGCTGCCCCAGTGCCAGAGTGGGGGGCAGGCGGGGGCACACAGGCCCTCGTGATACTTGTTAGCCACTTGGCAAGCCCTCAATATGTCCTGCGACTGTTTGGTGCCGCCAAGTCATTTTGTCAAGGGAAACAGTGTTACAAAGCCGGGGAGAGAAACGATGAGGCCTTGAGGGAGGCTAACCATTGTTGTTTCAGCTAACAAGGTAGTTTGTACATACATTTCTCACACATCCTCCCCCTGTCTGCTTACTTAAACCTTACAAATACTGATCAAAAAACATCAGATAGATTTTTAAATATTTACTAGAAAACAGATGGAAAACCTTGAGATCCCCCCCCCCCCTAAATTTTTCTGTGGTAAATAATAAGCGAGAGGATGAACGTGACTCCCATGTTGTGTTAATGAACGCATCACAGTGGAGTTAGCTGCTGGATGCTACACGTTGCTCATCTTGCCTCCGAGAGCCCCTACTGCCAGCTCAGCACACTCCACAGTAATTGAAGCCATTTGCAGTGTTGCAGTGTGGTAATGGGCAGATCCATGTCTACCACCCACCCACAGCCTCTACCATTAATCAGAGCTGCGTGGAGTCAAGAGAGCCAGGATTTGGTTGCTACAGCAGGCCTGAGCCTCAGCCAGGAGTCGGCTGCCTTCAAGGAACACTTTGACGTGTTAAATTTTGGCTGGTTTGGGTTTTTTATTTTTTTTAGTTGTTGTTCTTATCTTAAAGACTGCTTGTTAAGGTTAAAGTTTCTAGAGTTTTCTGAACTCCCCTCCATCCAGAGATCCACTGCTGAAATGAGTAATAATTGATGACACCACATTGCAATGTCGGAAGTTATGATTGTGAAAGGACATTTTCACTCACTGTCACGAGCAGTTGACCTCATGGATGATTCTTTATCAATGCAATGATCACAGATAAATCAAAAATGACAAAAGACATTAATTGCAACAATTAATTGAATGATCTTAAAAAAATATGAATTAACAATTGTTCAGATTACTAACTGTTTGGATCATCTAGCAATGAAAATGGGAATTACAGGAAAAATACAAAAATGATTTTGGCGATTTCACAGATGAAAAATCTACTAACTGATAATAATTCAATATGTGACGAATCTCTGAGGATAAATATGGAGTCCCTCGCATCTGGTAACAACATATGGTGCTATTTGACGGGAGTCTGAGATTTGAAGCCAAGCGCTATGACATCGTTCTTGAACCTGGGTACCTCCTCAGCAGCCAACCTCCCTGCTGAAGCCTCTTCAAGCAAGACTCATATCTGGTCTAGAGGTGATGACCTCTGACCCCTCCCCCCCATCCACGTAGAACATCCCCTTCATGATGACAGGACTATGAGCATGTTGTGATAAAGCTCAGTGCAGTTCTAATAAGCTCTGATTTGACTCCTCTTACTCTCCTGTGATGAACAGGTTTACTTGGTTTGGAGTATTTTTGAGAGACTATAAGAGGTTTAACAGGGACACCGCCCACACCACTAAATGTAGCAGCTCTGTGTCACCTCACAGCAGTCCTGATCTTCCTGCCATACCCAGACGGAGCAGCAAGGTGGAAACAAAAGGGAAGGCAGGAAGACTTTAACATCGCCCTCAGGTCCTACACTATCTGTCCTTTCCATGAGCAGGCAGATGGGAGAGGTGGAAACACGTCTCCTCGCTACAAACACACACCAGCCTATTTTAAGGTCACTTGTAAGTCTAGGCATTTGCAGGGTAGCAGCCAGTGTGATAGCACTAGATATTGTGAATTTGCCTCTTCTTGGATTGCGCCCAATGGTTGCACAGCTTTAGACAGGATTATGTGTGTAAAGCCTTACAAGCAGTGCCTGGTTTTGACTCCCGACGATCGTTACAATAAAATGATCTTCAGTGTGACAGTCTCTGTTTGAGGAAATGTTGCCTTACACTGCTGTGAGGCAGGTTCTGCCTATGAAAGGTTAAGAGCCTACCTTTAATGTATGAAATCTGTCATGAACCATATCCCAATAGTCTGTGTAAAGTCCATCACCCAGCTGCCTCACCCCTCAGCTTTTAGAGGAGTTTGAGGATCTACAGAGGCGGTGAATTATCTCCCACTGAAGCACAGGCCAGAGGGGCCACAGGGACCATGCCCTACAATACGGACAGGTCACTTGATTCCATTGCCCTCACTTGATTATCAGAGCCCTTTCTGCAGTGACCTGGCAACATTCAGGTACTCATCTGCTCATCTCCCAGTTATTATTCAGAGTCTTTCCCAGCTGAGCTCAGAACCTGACCTGACCTCGTGGCACAGTCGAACACACCGACTGTGTGTCCGCAACTGAGGTGTCAGGCTCATAGACTAAACATGTTAGGAGGATGAAATGGGTTGCATGAGCACAAAAAAAGTTGAGAAATAATTTGGTGATAATGTAATTGACATTTAAAACTGATATATTAATATAATTTTAAAAAAGGCTGCAAAATCATGGCTTTAGTAAGACAATTTGACAAAAATGTAAAGAATCTGTCTTACTTCTTCCTGCATTGATTTGATTGGCAGTGGTAAAGGGTATTTCTTCCCTCAGATGTCTTCCTTGGGAAGATACAAATGTTGCTCCCTGATGATGAAAACAGCCGCAGCGAAGGCCTGTAAAGTAACTGCAGTAAGAAGTGAAAAACCGTAATGTTTTTACCCAGGCAGAATCAGACTCGGCTCCTAACTACAAGACCATCCCTGCTTAATATTTGGAGCATTTCAAGAGTTGGCTTTCTTTGCAAAAGATTAACTTTCTTTCTCTTGAGCATCTGTTAATGCAATCCCTGCACATACGGAAATACCAGAAAGTCAGCCATTCCCTGGATTACAAGGCGCGGCATTGTCTAATGTGCACACAAACATACAATCCTTCCCTCTAGAATCTGTTGGAGTTTGCAACTTTAAAGCACACAGGGTTTTGTTGCCTTGGAATAATAATTGTAAAATTGTCTTTTTTTTTTTTTCTAAAGGGAGGAGAAGCTGCAGGGAATCAGCGGTTTGTCAAAATCTAAGAAGTGATATTGTCATACCAGCCGGATGGCCGTCTGGTGTTTGTTTAAAAGGGGAGGGAAGAAAAAAAGCAACAGTCCAGGCAATTGAATCATATCTTCTTGCCAATACGTCCTTGCGTTCCCACCTCCATCATTACAGCAACATGTTTTATTTTCAGTAGTGCTGTTCTCAGTGACTCACATCCCAGAGCCATGTGCTGCTCAGTTAGGCCTCAGATCCCTCTAACACGGGCCAAGTGGTCAGGAGAAATGATGCTCCTGTAATGCAGCAGAGATTACACTCACATTGTGCTAAGTTTATGTAGTGTATTGTAAACATAAAATATGGACTCTTATGAACGGTTGTAATTGAGCTTAGTTATTTGATATGTATTTCATCTTTATAGACTGAAAACAAACTGTCTTTTAAACACATTCAATCCAAATTACCAGAAATAATACTCTGTGTTTGTGTCTTTCTTGTCTTCACAGGTAAATGGGATCTATTGGCCTTCATCACCAGGTTTAACCTAGGAAAGCCTGTTGCCACTTTGCAGTTTCTCACCAAAAACTATGAGGACTGAAGAATTCTCAATGTCAGAAATGTTGGTGTAGAAGCATGTGTCAAAACAGTGATGTAAAATGCATTCATTCATTCTTTCCCTGAATTAAACAGTATCACTTCTTCAAAGCATACAACAGGCCGGCCCTCTTTGCCTCTATCTTATCATTCAGGTAGACAGAGATTTCCTCTTTGTGTTGCACCAGCTGCTATGTTCTTGATGTTTCTCTGTATCTCAGTGTTGTGGTCTGGAGCGTCAGATTCGGGATAGATTTTGACCTCACTGGGGATTTCTTATTAGTTTCCGAACACTGTCAGCAAGAGGAGGAAGACAGCCTGATATCACAACTCAGTGTGGAAAGAGTCGACTCTAATTCAGGGGCGGAAACACGTCAGGGCCAAAAAAAGGAAGTGGGAGGTGAAACCGAGACCGCAACACAGCCGGATGCCGGAGTGGAACTTGAACCAAAATACTCTGCAGAGAGACAGAGCAAGGGGAGGGGCTGCAGGGCCTGTGGTATGTATTGAGTGTAGGGAACTTGCTGTTTGTGTAATTGTTTATCATATTTCCATTGACCACTCTCACCTCGGTTGGAAACACTGAGCTAATTCAGGTTCTTGATTGATTCTTTTGAAGTAAAATCAGCTCTCTACATGTTGAAGTGTCCTTGAGTATAACTTTGGGACGATGAACCGGTTTTGAACTGTGCAAGGTTACATAAGAGGCCCACCTGGCAGGTCTGCAGAGGATGCTGTGGATAAACTTTTCAACCCGTTTACGAGGAGCTACTTTTCAGACTTGGAGATGCTTTGTAGAGGGTGGGTCAGAGTACCCCCCCAGGAGGAATATCGGTTTCTAACCAGCAACCCTCCTCAGGGAGGAGTTTGTATCAATACCCCAGATGTCTGAAAAAGGCTGGATTTACATGAGCCACTTTGAAGTTCTGATGATCAATCTTTAGTTGGTGGTTTCATTGACCCTAATTTGGTGTCTCATCAGTGGGCTCGGCAGGAGTAGGTAATGGAGGTTTTTGTTCCTTTGGTGGTTAAGCCAGCCTTGGTAAACCCCTATGTGCCCCCTCCATGAACTCTGGGAGATCATTGATCAGATCGTCCTGCATTCGCTTTGTTTGTTTGCCCGACTTAGCAGTCAAAGCAGCCGCATCCACAAACAATACAACCAAACAATACACACACTTAGACAGACCACTGCTTTTTGAACAAATGTGAAGTATCCGTCAGTTTGAATATCGCTCTTGACCTTGATTTACCCATCTCATATGACTTATGAAATCACATTTTGAACAATTGGCAAAGGGAGTATAATTCCACACTCATTGTGAGGCATGCCAAGTGGGAGAGCATTCTTCCAAAAACCACCTACTTGAATCCATCAGTACACCATTGAAATGCCAAGATTTGTACTTCCAAATACACTGTGCATTTTTTTCTCCTTTATAACGTGGCGATATCCTGCCAAAACAGCTGGGTTTTGCCACTCAGCTTCCTTCAATGTGTTTATTTTTACTCTAAATGTCAGGAGAGTTGAAATATTCTGATTAAGAAAAACTGACAGCTATAGTCACCCGTGCACACTATATTGTCTCTATGAAAAAAATCACTTCTCACATCCCCTGATGATATCAGAAAAGCATTCAATATTTTCTTAATTTATTCAAGTTTACATTAATTAAAAGACATTTGTATAATCAATGCAATTGCCCAACAGGCACTTAGTGATCTAATATGCATGATGACTTGAGTCTCAACTCTCTCTATCTGCTGCTGAAGAGTAGATGCATGTCACTGGAGAATTTCTGCCGTTCATCGCTTGTTGTGTGCAGCAGCAAGATGGATTTGAGTGTTTCATCTGTTCGATGCATACCTACAGTAGTCTGCAGACCACTTTGCACATCACATGCATTTGACCCCAACAGACTGATATTATTCTGCAAGTCTAAATGCAGAGATTCAGTGCAGTGTAGTCCAGCTGGAGATTTGGGTACAACCTCTGAAAAAAAGATTCTCATTATATCCTTATTTTTAAGGATTTCTTACACTTACTGATGAGGGAGACAAAGTTCTAAATAGCACCTTTTGAAAAGTAGAATGTTTGTTAAGGTGTCTGCACTGACCAAGTGTTTTAAATGCATGTTTCTATCTCTTATTCACTCTGGAAGACAGAGTTAGTCTAGAGCTGCTCTTTTTGTAAAGTGTTCTGAGATAGTGCTTTAGATAGTGTATTATTCAACACAACAAATTAAGATGGATTAATTAATTGATTACATTTTTTTTATTTTGCATAAATGCAGACTGACATAAAGTCCTAGTGATGTTCAATTTGAATCATTGCAAAAATACTGGTTGATGTCTGTACCCAGTCTGTAACCATTACACTTACAGTGTAACTCTTACTTTAACTTAATCTAAAGCAAAGATTCTCTATAGGGTCAACTCAAAATGTGATGCAGGTCAGCTTAAATAAAAAGCTGAGTGCTTTAAGAGTCTTAGTTTGTAGATTTGCAGTGTTTTTGAATCCTTTAGTTATTAGAGCATTCATCTTTGCAAACTGGTCAGCCTAATAAGATATTATTTCTCATGTCATACTGTAAGTATTTATGATAATGGTAACAGAGGCCTTTGCTTCAAAAGTAAATTAACCGTTATAATTAGAAACATTTCCACTTCTTTCAATAACAGATAGGAACATGAAATTATGCCATCCCCATGAGGCTTGGAAAAAAAACAACCTAATTTGCTTATACATCCAGAGTGCCCTGTGCGTTTTCCACTGTGCTTTCAAATGAGTCCGTGCTTCCATGGAATCCCCGTATGCAAAGGAGCCAGGATACCGCAACCCGTCGACAAACGCTGTAGGCCTGCTCCATGTGACCAAGCTCATAGTCGAGGGCATAAACCTACAACAGGTAGGTGTTCCAGGTGTGGCCGCCAACTTTCCAACCACAGAGCCACAAAAAACACCTCCCCTGAGGAGGGAAACTGCCATACAGTAAGTCCTCACTCAGACCTGGGGGAATTCTCTCACTAGTTTGAGTCCATACACACGAGTGATGAGGCACCCATTTTCCAGGGATCTCCCACTGCATTGGTCATTGTAGGCAGCTTCCTGTGGTGGTCTAAATAACAGTTACAACAGGCATAACCTCTCATTTATGAGGACATGGTTTTGCATTACCTCATACTGTCAGGCTGTAGTATAATCCAAATAAACATGGCAAAATGTATTTGTAATTTATTTATCAGGGGACAGTGTACAATGACATTGATCTGTAGTCTCACAAAAAAGTGACGCACCTGGCAACAGAAATTCCATAAACTAAACTATAAAATGATATAAACACAGTAGTAAACAAGTATATCCTGCTCGGTACAAAGTATTCAAAAAATCATTTTATATATACAATAAATGTCTGATCATTAAATAAATAATTGAAATGATCAGTTGTGTGTATGGAGGCCTTTCACAATAAATAACAAATACTGTATGATATAAGGGACAACATCAATTACACATACATTATAATGTGATCAAGATACTATTGCAGGTTCCTCACTTAATAAAAACCTTAAGCACACACTGCATAGTATGGAGGTGCAATCTAAGGGATCATGCAAGGCAATACAATAACAAATAAATTTAAAATTTTACACATTAATTAGTAAATTGACTTGAGCTTGTATAGGGCTTTTCTAGTCTTCTGACTACTCAAAGCGCAGGTCACACCTACCTATTCACACACTGATGACAGAGGCTGCAGTGTAAAGTGTCCATTGGTATTAACTAACCCTAATCATATACATTCACACGCCGCCGCCTAAGCAGAGGGAGCAACTTGGAGTTAAGTGTCTTGACCAAGGACACATCGACATGTGGCTGCAGGAGCTGGGAATCGAACCGACCTTCGGGTTGAGAGATGACCGACTCTATACTAAACCACAGCTGCCCCCAATTACACATAAATCTCCAGAGATGAGGTACTTGTTCAGTATTTATTTCATCATTTAACACTGAAACAACAATCTGTTTGTAAAGCAGTTTGCTTGAAGGAAATCAAACTTTTCACAAGTAGTCCCGCCCTGTTCTTGTGTTTCACCGAGACCATGCTTGTCTCTTTATTTAAATGTATATAAGGTACAGTATGTAACATTAACAGCCTATAAACTAAGTATTTATACAGATTTAACAGTTTTGGTTTCACAGGTTTAAGACAGGGGCAGAATATTTGAAAATAAAGTAACATATAGTGTTTTATCAGGGTCTGTTGATAGCAACACGCATGCTGATAGACATTAGTTAACAACTCAGAATAGCACATAGACATCCTATTTTGGGCAAATTCAACTTGTGCCTTTTGACCCAGTGCAAATGGAGTGAGTCAGTATGAGGCAGATGATGAAGTCACCATTCAAAGTGGTTGGACTAAAATGTGTTAAATTTAGCATCAAGTTCATTAGAATCCCTGTTTGTCTGTTTTGTTGATTGTAGGTATCAAGATGCCCTGAGAGGACTCCGCCGTGCCTGCTGGTAGGTCTGCTCCTCATAAACACACAGAGACACACACAGCATACACTGAGGACTTGCCTGTGGTAATGGCTGCTCTGTTTGTGTAAGCCCCCTAAACACAGAGCATGATTCAGACTAATTCTCCCACACACTCTGTTTACACTTCTGGTTCATTGAGGTACTATTAATTTCTCAGGTCTGAATATTCAGGCTTTGACATTTCATTCAATATTTCCTATGATTGTTTTTTTTTTTTTTTGCAGAGGCCTGTGTGTTTTATTTTGGTGCAGATACAGCAGTAAATAGGTATAAGGTAAGTTCACACCAAAACTAAGCAAACCTTAACTGAACTGTTATCTGAATGTGATACACGGGAATAAACCCACGCTGTCTGCGATTCTTTTTTTAACAAACCAAATCATGAGGGGATATTTTTAAAACATTATGAGGCAATCAGCGGTGCTATTCACAAGTTGGCAAGTTGATGAAAAAGTGATCCATGACGCGTTGTCCACTGACATCTCTCTGAACGTCTGTGGCTTCCGATCACTTTTCCACTACCACTTCACCCGGAACTTACATGTCCAAATACAGACACGAAGGGGCGGGGCCGGACACTGCCTTATTTGGAGTTTCCACTTAAGCGGTCACTTGGGCTCCAAGTCAAAGCAAGCCACTTGGATTTACAAAGCGCCTGCAATATTTACAAGCGATTAACTCCGTCAATTACTGTCTTTGTGAGAGTGGCTGCATGAGAAGAGGGTTATGAATCAGTGTACTGCAATAGGCTACAAAGCATCCAAAGTCAGTGTATTATTTTGACAAAAAGTAGTTTAATAGTATTAGTAAGGCCATCAAGGACAACACCCACCAATGTTTTTTAAGCATATTTCATACAAATGACGCTTCAAAAAAAGGGTAGGCTGCATGATATGAGGAAAAAATACACAATAAACTCTTTCATAGCCCACACTGCTGCCTGAATAGCACTGAGCTTTGTTCCTGATAGTCCACAAAATACTGACAATAATGAAGATAACTCGCTGTCATGTTTTCCACAAGAAGGAACAAAGGAGGAGAAGGACTCTGCTGCAGGTGACAGGTAGATTTAGTTAACTTTCTCTATCCTTCGGAGCGTTTTGCATGCACTCTGTAGTTTCCACCAACTGACGAGCGGAGAGCCTTACGCTGGGTGCTCTGTCCATATATGGTCATCTACGTCACACAAATGTTCCATCCCCCTATTTAATACAGGCAAACTGGAGTCCCCTATCCAGCTCCAATAGAGCAAGTAGAGCCGCTCTTGTGCAACCAACACCACCACCACCTCCTCCATTGATTCACAGACTTCAAATTCCCCCACAAGCAGCCCAGCGTCCACTGTGATCACATTAATAACAACAATAGCCCGTGATCACACAGGAGGAGAGAACCGGCGCTGCTCGTCCTCCGCGGGATACTTGGACAGCTACAGCAACAGGATCCATCCCTACTCCCGTCTCCTTTTTTTTTTTTCTTCCCCACACCTGTGTTTTCCACTTTGAGAACACACGCTTTTTTTTTGCCCTCTTGGATACCTGCGCGTTGTCCCTCATAAATGTCGGACTGAATCTCACTACTATGACAGGGAAACTAGCGGAGAAGCTCCCTCTTACCATGAGCAGTTTAATAAACACGATCCCTGACAGTCTTTACCCAGAAGAGGACATTCCGACGTCTATGAACATTTTCACCAGTACGGAATCTATTAATCACTACTCACAGATGAACACAGGTAAGTTTGTACCCTACTTTATCTGGCATGTGTGAGTGTGTATGTTTTCATTAAAGTGGTTCAAACTACGGTGTGCGAGAAGGCAACAGTTGTCTTTGAGCTTGGAGCACCTGTTTGCGCTCTGGCTGTTGCGCACAAAGGCAGGTACTCGCACGGTATAGCCTACTTTATGGGGTCAGGTGTATCACTGCCTGGCATGAATCAAATTCACCTTTTAGATGACTTTCTTTGAGGTCGACAATGTGATTTTTTTGTTTGTTCTGCAGCCTCGTCTGTATCAGACGAAATGTCAAAATTCCAAGCGCAACATGAGAAACTGGACTCATATCAAAACTTGAAAAAAAAAAGAAATTAGATTACAGATTATTTAAGGAAAATCCGCGTTATTTGCAGTGGCTTTAAATTTAAAAATCTGACCGCGTTTGAAGAAATATGAACGGCTGTGAAAAAGGCAGTTTCACGCGGTAAAAACGAACTCGGCTCTGACTGAGCTGAAATCTGCATGTTCTCAGTAAACTGTGTATAATTAAAGTGGTCAAACCATAAATGCCACAGATGAACTTTCCTGACACCGATCCGCAAAGATGGGTCAACAAGACAATGACTTTTATTCGTAACTCTTGAACCTGTCACAGATTTGATTTCAGTAGGCGTGTGTGTGGGGGGCTGCTTTTCCTTATGTGAAACCTATACACCAGGCCCCTGAAACATATTTGATTGCGAGGCCGAAGGTATGGATTCATATATTTCTATAGCCTATGTAAATTTCTATTGAATTCATCTCGCCGCATGAAGCTGACTTTAGTTGTTTCGGCTCAGTGTTGGCATTAAATCAATCACTAATTGTCCGGGCTCACCTTCTGAGGTGATGGGTCAATGATGCGCGAAATATTCTAAATCCTTAGTTTCCCGGGGTAGCTGTGCACATCAGCAAGTGAGACTGTGGCCACGATTACCATTTTTCAAATTGTTTTGTTCTCAAATTAAAACACTACCTCAGTTTGGATTTATATCTAAATATATTCCCTTTTTTAACCAAAGACCCATGCGTCATATTTTTTTCCCCAGCGTCAGGTCTCAAAAAAAAAAAGAAATAGTGTGGTTCATTTTTTAATAAGTTAATTAAATACAAGTCCATAACTAGATATACTTTTTTTTTTAAATATAAAAATACAAGAAAAACATATATTTTATGTAGCCGCTTTTGGTAGATATTGAAACAAATTAAATTACCTGATTCGAAAAAAAGAAGTTGCAACGTGAGGGTGCGTGCTGCTATTTTAATAATGTCTGATCTAGGCGACATGCACATAATTAACACAAAAAGTAGATCTATGGTATTGTGTCACGTGTACTATTTTTAGTTGGAATAACAAAAATGTATGTTACAGTGCCACTCAGAGAATTTACAGGTAGAGCAGGTGTGTGCTTTGCTCTTCAGTTCTGACCTATGAAACAAATAGTGGTGACTTTTTTTCTATGCCCTTCTTTCTGTCTAAATGTCCCACTGCTCAAATGACTTCCAAAACCTCATAGTAAAAAAAAAACATTAATATCAACTCAGGCTTCTTTTCTAATTCTCATACATGCCTTAAAAAACATGCCACAAGTGTCACAGTTCCTATATACGTCATGTGTTGAGAGGCATTGTGCAATATATGTAATTTTGCTTTTGTGTGTTTCATTACGATTTGCCTTTAGCCAAATTCCAGCAGGCTGTAATTACTGGGAGTGAGTTTATAAGCACCCCTGTGTATGATTTTCTGCAAATGAAAAGAGACGTCTGTTTAAACTTCTGTTTAAGAAAGAATTATCTTCAATTGTCTCACATCAAACTCTCAGAGCTCATCAGCATGAAAATGTATCTCCTATTAAGCATTTGATAGTTTTTATGGCATCTTTAAAAATAAGTTAAATGTGTGTGTGCAAGTGTGTGTGCGGGTGTGCGTATTCAGCGTGAAGTATAACATTCTGTACAATTAAAACATCAAGGATATTTGTGCAAATGGCGTTAAGCTCGCTAATGCAGAGATTGGAAAGGAAACACATGAAATTTTACCCCCATTATGTGCAGATGTTCTTTGCTGCAAATGTGTTTTGAATCCTTGAGCGTGATAGATGTGGCGTCTGCCTTATAATCCTCCCCGCTGTAAAGAAATCAGATCTTGCCATTCAGTTTGGCTGTCCTCCTGAGGGACACAATGACTGGATCAAAGGGGGTGTTTAGGTCTTGATTTATGAGGGCTTGTGGGATCTGAGAGAGAGAGAGAGAGACACCACTGTCTCACATGCAGCAGTCACTCACTTAACTTACAGGTCTGACAGCGTTCACATTTCTTTATGAACTACACTGGACTTCTTTTATTTTTCATCTCTTGTTCACCAAACAATTGCAGAGACATGCAGGAAAGCTGAATTTTGGGCAAACTGAGGACAGTCACTTCAAGTTGAAACAGCTTGACAAAGTGAATTTTCTATTTTTTTCCCCCCACAATTTGTGCCACAATTTCTCTTTTACAGGATTTTCTAAATGATTGCATTTCATATCCATGTTTAAGATTTGTTCTTAATATCTGTTTTTTTTATCTGCTTTTATCTAGATAATATCATGGATCTGGGCATGGGAAGCGACAAGACATCAGGAGAGATTCAGTATGGCTCCAGCTTCCAGTCCAACCGCAGCGGGCAGACTGTCACCTATCTGGGGAAGTTTGCCTTTGACACCCCGCCGTCAGGTGGCATCGGCGGCTCTGGCTGGTGCTCTGACAACAACATCATCAGCCTTGTCAGTGCGGGGATCCTGGGCGTTTCTCCATCACCTGGCACAGTAACGACACAGACATCATCCTCCGCAGCCAGCATGGGCGGACAGGCATCAGACATGGAGCAGGTATACGGTCCTCCGCTGCCTGCATACTCCACCTGTAGCGACCTGTACCAGGACCAGGTCTCCTTCCACCACAGCCCGGCCACCAGCACGGCACTTGCCTACCCCGGCAATGACTATCACTCCACATCTAAAGCCCCCATGGATGGCAGCCTTTTCTCCATGATCCCTGACTACAACCTTTTCCATCACCAGGGGGAGGTTGGAGTGATGGAGCACAAGCCCTTCCAGACAATGGACCCCATCCGTGTCAATCCCCCACCCATAACCCCCCTGGAGACCATCAGAGCATTTAAAGACAAGCAGCAGATTCACCCAGGTTTCATCGGCGGGCAGCAGCACCCTCCTCAGCACCACCCACCACCACAGACTCTCACCCTAAAGCCCATCCGACCAAGGAAGTACCCCAATCGTCCCAGCAAAACCCCTGTCCACGAACGTCCACATGCCTGTCCTGCAGAGAACTGTGACAGACGCTTCTCCCGCTCAGATGAGCTCACACGTCACTTACGCATCCACACAGGTCACAAACCCTTCCAGTGCAGAATATGCATGCGCTCCTTCAGCCGGAGCGACCACCTGACCACACATATCCGCACACACACAGGAGAGAAACCCTTCTCCTGTGAGTTCTGTGGACGCAAGTTTGCCAGGAGTGACGAGAGAAAGAGACATGCAAAGGTTCACCTGAAACAGAAGGACAAGAAGCCATCTGATAAGGGCAGTGGGGCGGCTGGGAGCCACAGCTCGCCACCCAGCTCCTGTGGGGGTCCAACGGTGGGGACATCATGACCGTGACTACGTGCACATGGACTCTCGCTATGCCCCACAGAGAGACTAAGGAAGACAGGACCACGTCCACTATGAGATAAATAGGTGACTCTTTTCCTCTTTTTTTGCATCGCCTGCTCTTTTCAGTTACTTCTATTTTGAGATTGATGCCTTTGGTTAGAGAAAGAGGGGGAAGCAACTCAGAGCCTCCTGTAACACAGTGCCAACACAAAGAACGGCACCACGGCATATTCTGTCCAAAATCTGTGAGGTTTGGTCTGGATACACTTTTTGTAAATTTTACTGAGAATTTCTTAATTGGAAAGAAGCCAGAATCTATCACAGGGGTCAAAACAGACAAAATTACAGTGGAGCTTAGTTAAAGGGTGTGTTGTCTGAAAAGAATGCATTAATTAATTTTATTTGGCTGTTTTAAAGTGCAATTGGTTATATTTCTGTACTGTCATGAATACCTTATTAGTGGCACTTGACTGTCTATTTTGTTGTTTTTTGTTGAGGTGTTGTTTTTTATTTTATATTTGAATGTTCTTTTTTCTTAAGAATGTGCCAAATGTATTGTGGTAATACAGCAACCTTGTTCTTATTATTGTGCCTGACATTTGCCAAACATAGCAGTGATATCAGCTTAGCACATGTGTTGAGTTCAAGCAAACATCAGATCTCGGTTTTTCTGCAAAATTTGGTGAAGCCCACATAATGACTGAATGGGTTACACAAAGCACACTGATGTCCTGTCCTGTAACCTGTACTGATAAAGCAAACATGCCTGCAGCAATCGATGCCTTTTCCAATACTTATTTATTTATAGTCACTGAGAGACACTGTGTATTTTTGTTGCCTTTTTCTATGGTAACTTTATGTTGTTTACCAGATATAATTTCTGTTGCTTTTTTTGAAAGCTCACCAATAATGTTCATTTTACATTTTCTTGAGTTCTGCAATTATATGCAATATATTCATGACACATTCACCAACCCGTAAATCAAATGAGCTCAAAGCACAGTTAGACAGACTGAACTACTTTAATATATGACACTGGGTTGCAAACAAGCAGTATATGAAAGCAAAGATAAAAAAGGATTTTTAGTGTAAAAAGACTAAACCACTTGTTTTAAGTCGCCAAAAGAAAAGCAGCATTATATGAGGGAAATAATGAAATATCCTTATCCATGTTTACATCTTTTTTTAATACAGTTAGACTGAGACAGAGTTGTGAACTAAGGAGTTGTTGTTTTTTGTACAGTATACAAACATGTATGCAGGTAGTTACAGTAGAAGTTTCACTTTTGTACTAAACGGTCAAATGCACCAGAAGTCAGTATTAAATTGTGCATATATGTGCATGCTTCCATGCACACTATGTAAATACAAATGTCTGCATACACAAGAACTTTCAATTGACTGAACGCCTGTGCAGAATGTGTCTTAAAGCTTTTAGTAATGTAGTTATAATACAGAATATTTTGTTGTCACATGTTATTGCAATCATTTATTGGAGTGCTACAATAGCACAAAATATAGTGTATTATCTTCCATAAAAGAAAAAAAAAAGAATAAGAGCATTTGCACCATGGGTACACTTTAAAGTGACAACTGGTTAAAGGAAGCACTAATGTGTTCTCTGAATAAACAACAAGATGTTTTACATTATGTGTTCCTCCAGCGTAGTCCCAAACAAGGCTATTCAATTAACACATCCTCCAAATTGAACAGAGAAATATTTATATTCTCAGACAGGCAAGAGACTACATGATTGGATAATTTTCCCTTTTTTTTTTACATAGTACATGCAATGCCAATATTTTTCACGAATCGTTCCTCACTGAAGGTGTTTTATAATATTGACAAAAGCACAGCAATGACCAATTTGATAAAAATGAATGGATGCCCATTGATTGCTTTTTCAGAAATATTTCATTTTAACTTCACTTTGCAAAGCAGGAAGATGTTTAAGTCTAAGAAGACTGGATTGACTCTTTGAGTCAAATGCAAAAAAAAAACAATATTGTGTAATTTTCATCAATTACAATTTATATACTACACTTATGGTTAACATTTTTTTTTTTTAAATGAATGATTGAAATCGTGGATATCACAATTTAGGAGTTATTTTCTTCTGTCAAGCCCAATTTGTAACTCATATGACAAAAATATTGGCATTGGTGTAAGAAAAAAAACATTCACATTTTCTCATTAACTGTTGGTTTTATTATTTCAGATTTATCCTTTTTGTTTAGTGTTAAAACTGCTGATAATCTTATCATTTCATTACATTCTTCTTCTATCTACTTTAACAATGTTTCTGGTTAATGAATTTGCTCTTTGACTATTAAGGAGTGTAGGCTGTATGCTAGGCACAGAATTCAAAACAGCATTGTTATCAACTGGAGAAAAACACAGTACTGTACTGGTCAGAAGACGCAGCATTCAGACTTAAAGAGAGTATCGACTAACTACTGCAAAGGCCAAAAGAAAGGTTGAGAAAAGCGGTGCCACAGAGAACACAGTGCAAACAGAAATGAGCTTCCAAGGTCATGCGTTCTCTTTCCTGTTACAACCAGTTTTCACGTCTCAGCTGCCTGGCAAGTGTCCACTTACTTTCCAATTAATGTGGCCTCATAGTCTTTTCTCAGCTCATCTACATGCTAAATGAACAGGCCTCCTTGCATTTTTATATACAGTTTAAAGTTCACTCTCCCTGTAACATCTAACTGTAAATCAATAGTTGACTACTATGAAATACATTATTTTTTATTGCAGGAATCGTCGTCGACAAATTAAGTTTCTAAAGCAATTTGCGACAGAATGTCACTAAGATGACACGAGCTTGCAGTTAAAAACACTGACAATTCTAGACCTTTACTATGATACACATCTTTCAATCAGCATCAAATAACTAACACTCAGAGATACAATTGGGATTGAAGTTTAGATTCTGCATTGAGTAATACCCACAAATGTAAAAATCCTGTAGCAGACAGCCTCATGGAGTCCCCACTAAATAGATATACTAAATGAGGCGATAGGAAAAAATATTATTTATATGTAATGTTTTCTTTAGAATAATATTCTCTAAATCATTTTAATTTATTTGACCAAATATGATGCTCTCTTTTGTGTTCTTGATTTGAGTTTTTTACTGGTGAGAATGGATGTTTGTAATTATGATAAATAGAATGTGGCCTCCTCAAAAAGAAAAACTGTGTTTATGTGTTAAAGAAAGATGCAGAGTCAGACGGAGACTACACCAAACTATCTCCGCGTCTAAATGAAGCCATGTAATTACAACTTTGCAAACTCAATATTTCATCAGTCGTGTGTTCTCAATGTGTTTGTCACGCTTGTTATTTGACACTTTTCTAAAGAACCGATAGATTTTGTAAAATTTATATGATCCCAATCCCTCAATATAGTTTGGTGGTTGAACAACATAACAGGTTGCATTTTGTTTGTCTGCACAATACCCATTCTCTGTAATGTGTGAATGTTAAAGATATATGTCGATGTTAAACAAACTCAGAAACAGCCCCCTCTTAGTTGTGCTTCTCCAAAAATAATTGATGTAATTTTTTCTGTTTTATTGTCAAAAAGTGGGCGGCTGAACGCTCTGAAATCAGAATTTGCCTCATCCTCATTCTGTGCTCCATGTTGGATATGAGCCAACATCAGCAGCCATCTTTGTGCCAAACTGGGTTGCAGGGTTGGCTGATCAAAAACAATAAGTGATGAGATCTCCACAAAAGCAACAAATCATAAATGTGACCTCAGTCAGCTCGCAGTTGAAGGCAGCCTTCTGCTAATGTTTGTGTTTAACTGTTGATTTAGTCTCTGGGAAGTTAGCCTTGGGCAGGACAAAAGGCTACGGATCATTCCTGCAAATTAACAAATAAACCTTTTTTTTTTTTTTTTTTTAAACACCTCACGTTTAAAGAGATTACAATAATGCGTAGATATAATAGGCTACTCATGTCAATTTATGGACTACAGGGTGGCTTCAGGGATTTTGTGGTCTTCAACCGTGACACCATGGTGTTCAGATGAAGTCGATACTCACTGTTTTCTGTTGTGTTGTGTTTTCTTTTCCTTGCAGTATATCCTCATGTTTGCATGTGCACGGAAATGTTCCAAAGTGCTGCCCTCAGACGTTGTGGGTGGTGCTCATTTCTTTATTATGCATGAAAATAAAAGTCACAATGGGTGAAATGGGATAAACCTGACAACAATTCAAGACAGACAATTGAAAACACACACTGGGATAGCTGTTCTGTTGTTTTTTTTTCCTTTGAGAAAACAAGAGGTCTTGTTTAAAATGTTGTGGATGTCTTTAGCCTATTTCATGTTTTTATTACCTTATAATAAGGTCCCTTCATGATGAGCTGAATATTGACATGAATTTTACTATATCCTTGTGATGGGGAGTTGTGCTCCTCTGTTTACTTGGCACTTAAGTTTGTTGTAATGCAATTGTTTTGTTATTTCTATGTAAGTACTTGAATAAAGAAAAATATCACTTGCCTTCGGTTTACTTGGGTCACTAAAGCGCGTATTATAACACACAAACGTAAAACTACATTTAACTTAAAATAAACCAGAAGTATGAACACTCTCAGAGTCAAAAAACACAAAACATTTGGACATCTGTCGAAATATGTGAACACATTATAACGTATGTCAGCTTTTGTCGCTTTTTTGTTTTTTTGTTTATCTGGTGAAAAACTTCCTCAAAGGAAGCGCGAGCGGCTCAGCTCCTGACTTCCGGTTTTATGCTCGACTGTCGACTGCAAAGGGATGAGGTCCTCGAAAAACAACATAATAACCCAATGAAATCGGAATAAAAGATCACTCAAAATGAGCTGGTATGTATTTCGTTTACATCATTAAGAGAGGTTATTGTTTTAAAAAGTTTTACTTAAGAGGATAGGTTAATATTGACCCAGCTTGTCGACAGGGCTCCGGCTATTTCCTGGTAGTGCTACGCAAACAGTGAGCAGAGTTAGCGCTAGCTTATGAAACTCACGGCGAACTAATAAAAACATCTCCTGGATATTTGTTTTAAGTACCTGAGTGGTTTTCATTTATATGTCTATATAAACAATTGGCCGCAAACGGATGTTGTTGTCAACTTCGGTTGAAGAATCTGTAGATAAACTCGAGTTAGCAGCTAACTAGTGGAAACAACATAGTTTAGTTTGTGCTGTGAAACCTGCAATCATAAACTTCGACGCTTTCAAACGCAACTTTCTGAAGTTCAGGTGATATCGTTTAGCCAGCACTGTGTAAATGACCACATGTTGTTTCTTTAGCAGGACATGTAAACAAGGCTTGTTGTGGGCTCAACAAGGTGACCACTGAGTACATTTAAAGATCATCAGTAGGCAGTCACAGGATGATGATGATGGGTCATGTTATTTACCAGAAAGTAGATTGGTAGGTTAATGACTTTAAACATTACCAACAAAGCTGGGTGGTTAATCAAAAAAAGTGTAGGCATAAAGGAGCATCCAAATGTTTGAATGCATGTAGTTAACATGAGTTTGAACACATGCTGCTTTTCCTTAAGTCTGACTTGACTTGAACCAAGGGAAGCCATGTAACTCTACAATACTGCTCTGCAATGAAATTCACTGTGATTATAAAAGCTGAGGCAGTGACTCCATTTAAAGTATTTGTTGAAAGTAACTTGGCGTATTTTTGATGGCAAATATGTATTTAAACACCAGGCTAAGAGCTGGAGCCGTGGCAGGTTTTATGTCTCTTGATAAACTGTTACATCGCAAGAAACCTGTGAAGTCAGGTCAGCTACATGACTAACTATACATAACAAGTATCGTTCATAAAATCAAATCAGATGCCTTGTGTGTGGACAGTAACTAATCGAAACAGGCTGTAAGTACATTTCTGCTGTAAAAACAGGCTTTTTAAGTGGGGTATGTATGTGACTTCCAGGGCTCTTGGTGTCAGCCCCTCTGCAAACTGCAGTTTTTGCACTTTTGAATTGGCCTAATTTTTCCACACGAGAGGTTCCCCTTGGTGTTAGCACACAGCGAGAGCTTTACACACACACACACACACACACACACACACACACACACACACACACACACACACACACACACCCATGTTATGATGTCACATTTTTTGATGATTTTCAATATATATAGCATATATATTTATAGATATAGTATTTCAAGACTTGTCAAATGAAAAATATCAGTCGTATTGTACATCAACCACAGCATTGAAGTCAGAATTGTTGTGTGTGACAACAGCCTTTATTTTTTTTGTAATATCCTTTAATTGGCGTAATTTACATATCTGATATCGGACTGATGGCACAGATACACATAAACGATCAAGAAAGTTTATTGGCACTATACATGCTCAGCTCAAACAGTGTTGCTTTGAAGACATTCAGACTTAACTGCAAAGTGCCCTTAAATAGTCAACATCAAGACAGTCAAACAACAAAACAATTCAATTCTTAGTCTAAAATATTTAATTTAATAACCTTACCAGTTGTTGCTGCTAACTCTTTGTAAGTGAAGCCAGCACAATGCAATGCCAGGTTTACTACAGCTTTGCGCAGCCTTATACAAAATAATAGTAGCAAGCGACAACAATAAAACTTTAATTATGATTTAAAAAAAATATCTGAATCAGTATCTGTATCGGTACACATATATCAGAATCGGATTGGAACTGAAAAAAAGTGGATCAGTGCATCTCTCCTTTCAAATAAAATGTTGTCCCTTTTATAACTGGACATATTAAGTCCTTGCAGTGCTTTGTAATTTATTATGAAGCCACAGATGATGATTGTGTGTTCAATGAATGAAGAGAGGTGGTGTGAACAGTTGGCAAAATGACATAGTCTGCATGGATGAACTGCACAGATATTAGCCGAATCCTCAAGGCTGGTAATGGGAGATCTTCCATCCAGCTGGGGACATCTTTGAGAAAATAAACAACAGCAAACAAGGCTGTGCTGTCATTGTAAGCCAAATGACAACAAGTAAATTGTATTTGTGAACAGCATAATTTGTTTTGAACATATCTGATTATTGGCTTTTCTCTCAGACTTGTTTATTTAGATAATGTTTATATACGATACACAATATATCAATTGGTTAACAGGCCCACATCAGAGCCAATTCATGACCCAACCCACGTTCTCTCAGGAGACGAGGAAAAACTCCCTAAAACCTTTGCTTTAAGGAGAGCAGTCGCTCAATGACGTCTTTGTCTGACCATTGGCTCCATCATGTCTTCCAGTTTTGACTCAAAGTCTGTAGTATTATGTGCTCCATTCATGCTGTTTGGGTTGTTTAAATGTTTCGAAGCCATGACTTTTTTTTTTTGCTTGTTTAAAAGTTAGTTTTAGTGACTTCCATTGCCTTCTTTGTGTGGCACCAATGGTTTTCTTGGGGATCTTAAGAAATACAGTGGCTTTTAGTTGAATTAAATGGATTTTAGTTCAACATAACACACTTTTGACAAAGTGATGACTGTTAATGGTAATAATAACCCATTTGGTCTAATGTATTTAAGGCATATTTAAGGCTTACTGACAATGACTACAAATTTTAAAATCCCTTCACATCCCCAAAAACTTGTCTTTTTCTTTTAGCAAAATGTTTCATTGTATACTGTTTCACTCAGGATTCAGTGATGACTATTGTTTTTTACAAGCAAGAGAGGTAGGGATGCACCTAGGTGATCAAGGGTGGCTCATCAGCACGGTGTGAAGTATTGCACCACCCCTTTTTTTATTTATTTAGCAAAATGTGTTTGGGAATCAGGAGTCAGAAACTGGTATGCCAGCAATTATATCTGGCCCATAATTATTTAAAGTGTGACTTTTAATTATTTTATTTTTTCCCTAATAACGTTGTGACAATCAGTGACAGAGACGAGACTCCTGCCACGGAGCAGAGCAGAGCTGCAGACAGTAGACAGCTCCTGGTGCTGAAACAAGGCCCTGTCACGGCAGCGACAGTTATCACCAGAATCACCTCCTCTTCAGCCTTTTTATCTACAAAGAAAAATGCAAGACAGTGCGTTTATTTAAAAAAAACCCTGTGTAGTACTAATTGACTAATACATAACATGACAAGAGAGAGAGGGCTGCACGGATATTGTTGACAACGTCCAGACTTCATTGACCGCACAGATTTGTGAACTGTTTGCACAGATTTCCAATGCAAAACAGTGGGTACAGAATTGCAAACATTTTTATTATTTTTCATCTATGTGACACAACCAACAACCAAACCAAACCCCCTTTAAAGTGTCCCTTGGGACTCTGTTATCACAAAAGGTGAGCCTTGTTGGAAAGGCTTGTTATAAAGTCGCATCAGTGCCATCAGAGCGAGAGAGAGATAGGAGAGGCCAGTTTTGACATAAGTACCAAGATTGTCTCTTATGTATTTTGTAGCCACATCATAATGTACAGGTTTTAAAACAATATAGACAAAAGCCTAATGAGGAGATGTTACGTGTGATAACTGTTGCTGCTGTGACGGTGCTTTGTTTCAGCACCAGGCGCTGTCCGTTGGCAACAGTGCTGCTCGCACACTGTTCCGTGGCGCGAGTGTTTGTGTGTGTCACTGAGTGTCATGGCGTTGTTGTTAAGAAAATGATATAATGAATAAGAGTCACCATGAAAATAATCTGGGCTAGATACTATTTCCTAGGTGAGTGAGAACTCAAATTAAATATGTTTCCTTGTTTCAAAGGGATCTTTTTGGGGCAGATTTGATAAATTGTCTCATCTAAATTAGCCCCGTTTTTATTTTAGTGAAGTTACATTTGTATTAGGTACTAGTGAAGTTGCCATTGTTTCCGACCTAACCTGAGGTGGGGTGAGAGAGCACTGCACGTCAAGTTGTGACGGTGGCCTCCATGCCTTCTGGTTGGCTTGTTAATATTGTGGTAATTCTGTTTTGTGGTAACCACAACGGCCCTAGTCCACACCTGATGCACACACGTAGAAGACTCATGTGAAACACATGCAGCAAAGTTTGTAAAGGAAAGTGTTCTCTCCCTACCTGTTGTCTCAACTTTGCCACAGGGCTGTCAAAGTTGCTGCAATAGCCGTGTTTTTTTTCAGCCCTAGTCTGTGTGTGTTTGGCGGGTGGAATATTTGAATAATTATTGAATAGTACCCTTTCGAATAGTATTTTGGCTTGAAAGGCCCATCCTTAATGAGAGGCTGTGTCTTGCAGGTTTTTGATTGTGCACTTCTGTTTGACAGTTAAACAAGAGGTTTTAATAAATTCATTGCTTGATTGTATTTCAAGAGGAAATGAGAAGAAAATAATGCACATTATAACAAGCTCGTTGACTTCATCTTTGACGGTGTTGTACTCTCTTGAGAAGAGGTTATGCATTCTTCATGTCACTTGTTGAAGACTATAATCAAGTAAGAATGACTGCGTCTTTCAGTTCAGTCAAACGGTCAGTAGCTGCTGACATGCTTCTGCAAGCACCCACCGCCAAACACAAGGTCAAGAGTGGGGTTCTCTGTCAGTAAAAAGAGTCCTTTATGGGCTCTGCTGACTGATGCATTCCAGTAGGGCCTGCACACTTGCTTCTATGACGTAAGACGCTTGACTTTTGGGTCATCATCTGAACAATTCAACTTCCCAACATCTTCAACTGGCCCTCTGTGCTCCATGGAATATTCAAGGTCAAATGATGCACTATCGCTCTAATGGCGTACACATTTGCAGTTTTTGTGAAAAGCCATTGGTTCTTCCAGCCGGTGCTAATGTGTGTCCTGGATAGAGAAGACTGTTGTGTCTTTGTTCTTGCCTACGTGCTCACTCGATGGTGGTGACGTGTAGCCTATTAGAGCAAAGATCAGATAGCTCTGTAAATGCAAGTTGAATGGATTGCTGACAATGACAGCAAATGTGTAAAAGCAGTTTTTTAAAGGTCACATACTATACTACTTCAACAAATTTAAATATGTCTCAGAGGTCCCAAAAACATGTCTGTGAAGTTTCTTTCCAAGAAGTCTGATCCGATCCTGTATTTGATCACGCCTATAAACCCCTCTATTTCAACCCTGATCAGAACAGGCTGTTTCTCTGTCTATAGCTTTTAAATACAATTGAGCTGTGTTTGTCCAAACGCGTCTCTTGAAGGGGATGTGGCTCAGGCCCTCCCGCACCATGCCCAATTGTTTACGTTGGAAAAGCAGACTCAGAGGGCAGAACAAACACCTAGCTGAGGGAGTGTCACCAACCTGGGGGATGGGTTACTGCCCTCTGTGATGTCACAAAGGGATCATTTCCAAACGGTCTGTTTGAGCACACATTTACTGTAAAGTTAAGCTGGCAAAAGACAGATAGGATAGACTTTTCTCATAATTGGGGGGGGGGGGGGGTTGTAAAGAGGCTAGGGACACATTAGTGTTGGAAAACCATGCTAAAGTGCATTTTGCTCAATATGTGACCTTTTAATACACCTGGGCCCAGGGTAGGCAATGACCAAATAACTCTTTTAACCTCTCATTCAAATTTGTGTGTTTCTCTAAAAATCTTATTTTGGGGTTGCTGGTTTAGCTCAGTTGATAGAGCAGACGCCCAATGTACAGAGGCTACAGTCCTTGTCTTACTGGCCACAGGTTTGACTTTTAGTTCTTACTGAACTTACTGTATGTCATCTCCAACTCTCTCCAACATTTCCTATCAAATAAAAAAAAGCCCAAACATTATCTTTAAAAACAAATCATATTCTCTGAAACTATCCTAGGTTTTTTTTAGTTTTTGAGTGAGTTGTGTTATCTTCAGACACCTTGTTTCTCCAGAACAAACCGATGTTAAAAACCCAGAATAAACATGTTTCACTAAAAAATTGGTCTCTTATCAATCCTAAAATAGAGCTGAGTTTTTGCTAACTTGATGGCGCTAGATTAACCTTTCATCTACTTAAAGAAAAAAATACAAGTCAGTTAGAAAAGTTTAATCATAAGACTTAAAGCCAGAGCTTACCAAAATCCCTGATAGATTGTCTTCATGTGGTAAAACATGAGTCTATTTCAGTTACGTCAGGTTGATGTTTCACTGAAAAGAGAGAGTTGTCAAACATTTTAGTTAACAGCCAAATCTAAGTCAGACACGCCCCTAAAAATGAATCTGATTGTCTAAAATATTATAATAAATTCAAAGGCAAAGTTCAGCACAACCACCCATGCCTGTCATCGCTAAGCTTTAAGCTGTATTCAGAGAAAAAATAGGACTTCAGCTGATATAGTAAAGACGTTTTTGGTATTTGGTTGTCTTGTGGTTGGGTCTCTGCCATCTCAGACACTACTTGTAGGTTCACAGGCTCCAACATACCAGTGCTTCTAAATTCGACGTCCCCAACAAAAATAATGCTGTGTGAAAAACGTTGAAAAGGATTCTCACAGTGACTTCCATTTCTTGTTCTTTTCCTCTGGTTTCCTGCTACATTTTCCCCCTCTCTCCTCGAAGCACACTTCACTCTGAGTGTCTGCCAGTTCTCATGAGCAGTTGAGGAGAAAGACCACTTTCCTTTGGCTCCTTGTGGACATAATTGGAATATATAAAATTAAGCAGCTCTTGGGTTTTTTTACCCTAACAAATATCCTGGTACAGTCAAGGGAAAATCCACCTTAACATTTATACAGTCTCTCCTGTCATGGTCATTTCTGCCAATTTGTAGAAAAAAAGATAATTGAAACCAAACATTTAAGTATACTTCATGAAGCATTGGTGGCTGTATAGAACATTTATATTTAACTCTTCCACTGGGTCTTTGCTATGAATGACATGACTTTCTCTGACACACCCACTAAATGGGAGCAAACATCAAAAGCTGTGGCAAATCATCGTTGCTATGTTGGAAGAAACTCACTGTCCATTCAGAAAAACATGAACCATTTCAGAAATGCCAATATCAGTTGATACTGGTTACACCATCACTGCATTCGATTAAAAGATCATAAAACAACAAAGGGACATTCCTTTTTGACTAACTGTTAGCAGTGTGCAACTGCAAAGTGTGTCGACAATCCACCAAAGCAGAGAGATTAGGCTACAGTAAATATTCTATCCGGGACTGTTCTATGCTGATACACAGATGCGTCCAAAGTTTTTTTTTCTCAGCCAAATCACATTATTTGCTAATTATCAGACGCCAAGATTAAGAAAAACTTAACTGGAGGAGCTGTTTGTGTGAACGCAAAAAGCCAGATTTTCCCTCTGACTTCTCCAGGAGTTTCCTCTGCCAGCCCCCTTGTAGTCAGTAGAGTGTATGCATGCGACCACTATGATCTCCGTTCATGTAATTAAACAGCTGCATTACATTTACTGTTTGTCAGTATGTTGTTCTCCACTCATTTGTTGATAGTGTGATTCCATTGAAAGTTAAGTAGCCCTGATATAAAGGCAAATATTCTACAATTCTACAATTCTACAATTCACTTAGCAGACGCTTTTATCCAAAGCGACGTACATCAGAGAGTAAGTACAACACAAGCAAGGATTCTGTGTAATTCTTAGCATCGTATAACGGACTCTGTTGCTTGGTCTAATACTTCCGCGTTGTTGATTTTACACCACGCCTTGCAAAATAGATTTAATATTGATTATTGATTTGATTTAATATTGTCTTAAAATATTAATATTTTAAGACAATATTAAATCAATATTACAAAAAAAATGTGATTAAAATCCTGATCTTGCAAAGAGAATATATTTTTGCACACCCCCACTGCTTGTCCCCTTGTTTCCCTCTTGCATAGAGTGAGGTTCCCTTTAATTGTATTTTGAAAATATACGTATATATAATACATACACATAAAATAAAACATTTACAAATATTTTAAGCAAGAAGACATTTATCGTTCCAAAGAGGATTGAGTGTCAAATGTCTGATTTGTTTTGCGTTCCATGTCAGTAAGAGGGGCTTAATACCTTTAAGCATAACCCCATTAGCATCTTTGAGTCACTTGTGTAGTCGTATGTTAATACAGTACTGCCTTAATATGGTATCCATTCATAAACATAAAAAAATTATGTAGGCGTAGGGCTCAATCACACTTATTTGAAGGGATAATAATATGTCTACATGCGACAAGAAACTAGTCTTAAGGAATGCAAGTTCTGGCTTGACAATGCTGACTTAATGTTCAAAATATGTTTCTGAAAATATATGGCATCATATTTCCAAAATACAACAAAGACAGCATGGTACGTACTTTGTGTACGTAGTTTGACGTTAAAATGAGCTAATCAGGTAATGGGAGAAAGGTGAGTCACGTAAGATGGCAGTGAGTAATTTCAGTGGTTATTTTCCACGTTGGCTCACCCATTTGATGACACCATGGGTGAAACTACTTTCCTTGGCCAAAAGCAACAATAAGGCATCGGATTTTCATCAGATTGCTATGAGATGAAGATTAACTCTTAAACTGTTTTGGTTCAGGAGAATTGGCTTTTGATGCAGCATGGAATCAGTAAAGAGCTTGTAAATCAAAGGAATCTTGATACCTTAGCCACTAGTGAAACCTGTTTTTTATTCTTCTTTTACTGGATTAATACTGCTGTTATTTGACCATGTTGAGTTTTGTGATTGAGCTGTCATCAAAAGGATCTTCCCCACACATCAGTAGCATACCCCGGTTGCACAACGAGGCTCTGCATCACACCCTCCCTTTTCCATCTCATTAGTCTACACACCTTTCTTTTGACGCAGCTGCTGCCTCACCCCGCCTGTCAGCAGCAACTGTCCATCATATACCTTAGATTTCAGGCTATTAGTGGCACATCAATGACAACCTACACAGCCAAACACATTGGGAAGGCTGTGTTTTCTGTGTCATGGTTTCCAAAAAGCTCTCTGACGCTTGGCAGCAACTTATTAAGGCATAGGCAAGGTATTGAAATGGGGATAAAAGTGTGTTTTAACTAAGGAGGAGAATATTTCTTTTTTGTTTCACGAAAACTACAGGCAAGATGTCAGTGTTTGTCTTTTACAAGTGAAGAAAAGTTTGTATTTTTCAGTCTAAAGATAAGGTGCAAATACTGCTCCAGTAAAACACTTAACCATGTGGAATTTTTGTGTTTTTGATTGATTGATTTGTAGCATATGTCTGAAGTTTACTTCTTAAACTCATTGTCATGATTTCCAATAGATTTAAGCAATTGGTGTTTTCTACTCAATATAGCGAGTGCATCTGTGTTTGATTGCCAGCTGGGGTCATGAAGTGAAGCCACGCTGAGAAGAAGGGACAACCACTTCTGTGTAGTGATATCCGCCTCTAATGGGAGCCAGATGTGTTTAGTGATGACATGAAGTTAATGCACTTGGCTTTGACTGAACACACTAGAGGGGCAGGAATTAACAACTTTAGATTGTCCATGTCAGGCCTCTGAAAGAGGTGCCTGTTCACCTTTTGACCTGTACCTTTCTCTGGTTACCCATCATGCAACTGCTGACAATCTTAGTGCCCAGTATCTCAACCTTTTTGGATTGTCATTTTCCAGTTGCTAATGTCTGTCACTTGTTGTTTCTTTTGTGTTCAGGATTCCTTTCAAGATTGGACAACCAAAGAAGCAGATTGTCTCTAAAACTGTAAGTACAGATTCAAAGTTGCACCAATTCACTAATCAGTCTAAAAGGTTAAGGACCTACAAAAAGTAATTAAAGGTAAAAAGAATAGATACACTTCAAGGGTTTATGTCTTGTGAAAAGGATTTGAGGAAGGTTATGTTGCAATATTTGGGCTTGCAAACAAAATTGATAGTATTCTAAATATTGTTATTAGAAAGAATTATCAGATGCCAATTCGTCTGAGCCATGTAAGGGGGCAGAGGTGGTTACCTTGAAGTGACAATGAGTGGGTGTTCTCTTTGCAGGAGAAAACCACTTCCAGTGTAATGGTTGTGTGGCCCGGTAGTCACAGTCGGACTGGGTTTCCAGCTTCCTGTGCCATCCAGGAAAAAAAAACAGGGAGTGGGTTAGAGGCCTCCCAGTTACATTGTCCACTAGTGACCAAGTGTCAGTTGCCTTCCTCGTTGTTTTTGCCACTGTGTTTAAATCTGAGAGCCCACAAAACCACAAGACAGGAACCAAGGCAGCCTCTGTATGCATGCATGTTTTAGAAACAGGGTTGGATAAGCTGTCTTAGCCCAATTGACCCTTGAAACTCGATATACTGAAGTATTTAACCTGCATTTTAACCGCTGGAACCCGCTGGAAGTGCAATTAGTTAGCTGTGGTCTCTTGCCCCCGAAAAAAGTCCCTGATCCTGAGAAGTAGGAACTATTGGGATAAAGTCAAAGGAGTAAACCACTGAACCATGGTAGCATGCGCCTTGACTCTGCAAAAACATATCACTAGTTGTTGTTAGCATTATTCATCTCACACCATTATGTCTTAAAAAAGAACTGTTATCAGTATAATTTCAACTTCTTCTGATGATGTGGAATTGATCAAATGTACTTTGGACTTAATTCCCTTTACTGTAAAAAGTACTCTGTTTATTCATTGACGGTTAAGGACAATAAAATGTAACTCACCTAATGTGTTATGAAATTCCAACATTTTAAATGAAATGTTTTCTTTTGTAGGTTGAAAGAGACTTTGAGCGAGAATATGACAAGCTCCAAAAGTAAGTTAACTTTTTAATCAAGGTCTGTTTTATAGCATAAAAGAGGTTGTTTATTTGTTGCATCCATATCCATATGGACAGTTTGGTAGTTAAAAAAGTCATTATGAATTCAAAACTTTATTTATATGTATTCTAGAGTGTCACTGAGGTCCATGCATCCATATGTGTAAATCTTTTAGAGCCTTCATACCGGCAAAGACATTTCTCCTGAATCCTGTTAGAAATTAAAGACATTGAAAGATTTTTATAGACATCATCAATGTTGATCCAGAATTAGATATTTTTCTTCTTTTATAACTGAGCTTCGATGATTTTTAGCTTTGCATGTAAACAAAGAACTCTTGAGAAGCTCACACTAGACTTTCATCTTACATTCAGTTTCTCTGTAACACACAATTTGACAGTCATTTTTCTGTTTGGTCACTTTTTTGTTTTCAAAACTGAACTGTGAAAGGATCCACATTTAAGCTATGGTGCTGTGTGAAATTAGAAATCATGAAAGTCTGTTTAATTTAATCTAAACCGCTGAAGAATTCAGATGTATGATAGTAGTTATAATCTTATCAAATTTGATGTAAAGGCATCATTTAGGCCAGGGGTCGTCAACTACATTTGTACTAGGTCCAGCTTTTTTGGGTGCCAGGCTTTAAAATATGCTTGCACATAAACCTGAAAGCTGTCAACCTGATGTGAAGGAGTTGTGTCAGAGGGGAAATATACTAATGGTGTATTTCAGCCGAGATAATTTACTGTGTATTCTGGGGGCCGGATAAGATGCTTAGGGGGGCCAGATGTGGCCCGCTGGCTTGTTAAGTTTAAAAAAAAATGTTTTTCATTTGTAGATAGGCCTATTCTCAAGTTTTTTTAACATGAAGATGTAAGTGCCTTAACGAGAAACCTATATTTTTAAACTGCTGGAAGCTATTATTTACCTACCTATTAAGGACAGAGGGGTTTTAGAGCACATAAACACCCAAGACCTGAGAGCTCGTTACATCCGGGCCTTCTTTTACTGGGAGGCAGAGGTTCTGGAAACTCCCCGAGGGCCCTGTAGAATGAGTGGGAGCACCATTTCCCTCTCAGGTTTTGTTGAGTAGGAGGGCCCATTATCAGGAAGGTGTGGTGCCAATAGACCTTATAGATGAGTCAGAGCAGCAGGCATGTAGAGACATTCAGGTTCTCCACCCTAGAGATCCATATCAACACATCGTGGAGCCTCTGTGACCTAAATATACTTGGTATGCCTCAACATCAGTCCTGTTTTTGCTTTCTTTGTGCTCGACAAAAGGGAGTTTGGTCTAATATAACCTTTTATTTTGTGTTATCAGTTGTATATAATCTCAGATAAGTATAGGTTACAAATGCAATGTAATGCCTCTAATAGCTTAACTATAGGCTTTATTCAATTCATGTTCAAACTTTTGATTCTTTACTTCATAACCCTCCCATCGCACTGAATGACATTGTAAAGACGAACAGGTGAAACAGACTGGAAGAGAATATACAGCAAAAGTACTGCACGTTAGCTGTCTTTGACGTAACATCCGGTGTTTCCACAGCAACGAAAAGCGTTCTGTCTGTCATGGCGGCTCATCATGGCAGCCACCTCGACAAGACACCTCCCGTTACAACTATAAAATTACGGATTTTTCTGGCTTTGTTAAGTGTTGGTAATTTTTGAGGTTATATAAGTACTCAACAAAAAAACAAAATATAACATGGGTTAAGACAATTTTGAAGTGATATATTATATATTTTAATCTCAACATTGTCATAAAATTCTACATATTCTACATTTAAGTCTATAAACATTTTTTAAATTTGAATAGCAATTTCTCGGAGGCAACTCACATCTGGAAATTGCTGCCTTTGTTGAACAGTTCAAAAGCCAAGCTTTGGCAAGCAAGGATGTAAAAATCCCCCCATATATAGAATTCCAGGTGCATTGTTGACACATTACAGCCTTTAGTGTTTTTTTGTATCAAACTTGTTTTTTAATATGTTTTATGCCTTACTTGACGTGTTTTTATGGTTGTCTTGTCTTGTGTTCTTTTATTGTAAATTGCATAGAGTTGTATGCCTTATCGTGTCTTATCTATACCTTGTTGTTGACACATGCACTTTACCTTTTTTTGCAATTAGCAGATATCAAATTATCTATTAGCCATTAGGTAAAAAACACACCATGCAATTCATACATGAGAAGCTTGCTGTATTTAGCTGATTGAATACTATCTGGCTTAATGACCATCAGTCTTTTTAAGTTTTGGTGGCATCTAATCAATGTGTGAAGATGAACATATTGAAATATTTGTCATTGGTAAACCTGTTTGAGGCACACATATCAGAATGAAATACTAGTGATAACACTAATGTCAGCATGTTTTGTGATTTCACTTGATAAGCGTAGTCAGTTATGGACCTGCAGTACCAGACCAGTTCTCATATGAAAGTTACTGTCCCCAAAAGTGTGAATGGTCAAATGGTCTCTGTTTGTGTGTGAACGATGATACAAAATGTAGTTACCTCTGTCCAGTTTTTAATATGAGATCGTGGCTAGGTGATTGTGGCCACACAGGCTCATCACTGGGGCACTGGAGCAAGGAGCAGCTGTTCCACTAGGCCACTCTATTAGCACCTTTTGGAAAGAGACTCCAGGCTCACCTGGCACTCAGCCAGAATAACTCTCTCACTGTCAGTGCTGACAGAGAAAGATGCAACCGTATTGTGCAACACATTTTAAAGTAGGAGGTGCTATCTGGAACATGAGTTTCATATGCACAAACAAACACTACAAGGACACATCTTGAGTGTACAGGCATTGGTCTCAGAGCATGTTAGTTTGTTTACATGGTGAGATGATTTCACCCACTATCCCGCAAACCCAGTCTCCATGATTGGCAGGGTTTAACTGTTAAACTGTTATTTTCCTCATCTCATATTTGTCTCCTTTCATTACTCTAAAGTGTTAACTGTGTCAGCCAATTTACAAGACTGTTTTAGTTCTAGTTTGTTTTACATGATGCCCTCCATTGACTCCACTGGCATTCAGAATCACATTCATAACAAAGGCTAGCTATGTGTGATGAATTCCAAAATGCTTTTCCTTTTTACTTTCACAGAAACACAAATGATAAAACTGACCGCATATTTGTATTTCAGACTTTTTTCTTTTGACAATTGTAGACGCAATTTACAAACTGTTCATGTGATTTAAAAACTGAAGTTTATATAATAATAATAATAGCTGCATGGAAATGCTGGGAGATATTTTAATTAATTAATTTTTAGATACTGACTCAATCCTCTCTGAAGTATTGCTAATGTGATGTCTATAATGTAAGTACCATATGCTGCAATTACTAATGTCTGTGTTGTAAATCTCTGGAATAAGTACATTTTTCATTAATTTAGAGGACAACTGATAAGAGACCCAGTTACATCTAGTTGGTGAGAAAATACAAGAAGTTACTGTGGAGATTGTTCTGACAGAATGATGTTTTTTTCTTGTGGTGTGAACAATAAGGGATGAAGTTACATCATTTATTGCAAGTGACATTTTTGGAACAACCTCCATCTGGTCTGTGGCGATTGAGTGCAAAATCCCCAAAAATGTCAAGACAAACAAAAGCATGCAGAAACAAGTTTTGACAGAAAATAATTAAACATTTTTTGTTACCTTTAGACCCTACTTGCTTGGAGTTTAGTAACCTATTGTTTTGGTATCTTTGAAAAATGTAATTTCAATACAGATCACAATTCTAAATCTAAGCTGTCATACTACAAATGCTGCCTGACATCGGCTGATATTACAGAATGTGTACGCTACATTTGAAGAGCTGCCAGGGACCTTACATGCTATTTTGTGACAAAGTGAACAAAATGTGTTATGACAGGGCTGTTTGATTATATATGTTTGAAAACGACTGTAGTAAACTAAGTCCAAGTTATTTTTGCTTCAAAATTGATGAGATTATACAAACACATGCTCTTTGGTTTAAATCTACAGTAGCACAATTATTAATATTTTATATGATAATTTTTCTGTTGGTTCTGTCCTGTGACTTGCACATGCAAATTTGTCAGCTAATACATTGTGTGTTCTATGGACCAATAAGAAAAAACAACAGTAACAAATGATGACCTAAAAAGGCTCATTACTTCAAAGCCTGACTCCATATCCTTTGGTTGAATAGAAGAAGAAGAAGGTGTTCAGAGGGAATAGGTCACATTAGTGTTTTGTTCTTGCATCTATAGTTATGCTGTAGAAACCTTTTTATCCCCCCCCGCCCCCCTCCCCCCCCAAACAGCTTCACAATACACAAAGCTGTCAAATTTCTGCATTATGAAGCAACTCACTGCCAGTTTTATTTCCAATGCTTTTTGTGTTACAAATATTTTAAAGCATGTGACCATTTGCCATAGTGCCCCGACCAGAAATCCTATGGGTTTACATGGCTTTTGTTTTCCGAGTAAAATTAATCTCTTAAAGCAAACATTGAAGTGAAACCCCATCACGTTCCTATTTTCATCAAACCAGGAGAAGTGACATGACAGCAGTCTCAGGGGAGATTCTAAACCCCTCATTTGCCTTAATTGATATAATGAATGGCATGTGTTTTCTGCCTCCATAGTCTAGTAATTGCCTTTTTTTAACACCCATCAATGGAATATGTGCTGTGGAATGATTGAAGACATTAATGCTTTTGAGCGCAAATGTAGTTGACAGTAACAAGAAGGATTTCCTGTATTATTAGGTAGCTAACGGATGTTGTAATAACATTTTATGTGGAATCAATGAAATGTGTAATTTTTTCTTGAACCATATTTTTGTATACTAATTTCCTTTTGAATGTTTTTGATTTGAATGTTTTCTACAGAACACATTTAACAGTGGAAGAAACTGAACTTGATATTGAAATATAGAATGTACATTTCTTATGAGACAGGTGTAGAGGTGGTGTCCTGTTATCGTTTTTGTCACTTTTGTTGTTTTTCCTGTTCTGTTCCTGATGAATGCCATTGTTAAACATGCATTTCAGCTGCTGTTTCCCTTTTGTTTTTTTAGTGTTACTGTTTTACTAAACCAGAGGCTGACTGATAATATTTTTCTTGTCTTACAGGCTGGAGGATCAGACGAAAAAGCTTCACAAAGACATGAAGAAAAGTACCGAGGCTGATTTAGGTGTGTTCTACCACCAAGCTGTGTGTTGGCGCCGGGTGTGCCATTGATCTCTACTTGTTCACCAACATACTTACATGTTGCTTGGCAGGTTTCTCAAGGCTACAAAAGACTTTTGGTTGTCTTGGTTTATTTGGTAGTGTTTCAGCTCTACGAACAACTTGAAATTGAGATGAAAAATTTGAGTCTTCCCTTTAATCTTGTATAGGCTTTTCCAGGCTATCGTAGTGTGTTTGATTTGGATCTACGAGTGTATCTCTTTTGGGATGTTCAGTTAGGGCTCCATTTGTTAACCATGTCTGCCTCATTTATTTATTCATGAAATTGTCGGCCACAGAAACCATGTTTACTCTACTTTTTATTTGCTTACTTGCTGGTTTTGGAGATGTGTATCTGGGACGCAGCGGTAGACATGGCCTGTGGTAAGTAGTCAGTTGTGGGGGTGGAGGAGCGGGGATGGATGGAGGAGTGAGAGGCTTCTTCATTTCCTCTCCTTTGTGCTCTGGAATATGGATGTCTGCATCATCAAAGTGTCATAGCTGTCAGGCCCTCATTATCATTAATGGATTCCATCTGTTGCACAGGTCCTGTCTCCAGCAACTGCTACCAAACAAAGAACTGGACCTACTCTGATTGTCGCCACTGCATTTTATACACTGCCTTCTATATGAACAATCATTTATCAAGTCAAGGGTGCTGATATGCAGAGCTTTATTGAACTCGCTCTCCCAATTAGCTGGTGAGGGATGAAAATGTCTTTCAAGGGACACTGTGGTTCACCGTTTCAATTAGATGACATAACAGAAGGCAGTGAAAGTAGCAGGGATAATTCTGCTTTTCACACTGAGAAATAGTTCCTGCTGTTTCAGCCCCAGCTTATTAGGGACCGCCGCTTCCCTTATTTGCACACTACTTGTGCTTATAATTAAAGCACCACCATTCAGTCGCCCTTTGATTCTTATGACCCTGTAATCAAGTGAAATCAGACAATGTCATGTCAGACAATTTGTTCCTTGTCAAAAGGAGAAGGATGCAGAAATGTCACTTTGTCATAATTGATTGGTTGAAAATGGTCTTGAGAGAATCCCAAGGGAGTGTGAAAACACTGTTCCAGATCTCCATGAAGCCCATTTTCACCACAGCCACTAATGTCAGCTAGTGACTCCTCAGTGAAGCTCATTTATTTTGACAGTGAAGCCATGATCTGATATGTGCTATGTGTCTAAACAAAGTTGCATGAGAACAGATTAACAGTAATTGGTGCTGTCAGTGTAGAAACATTGCTAAGATTCTTGGTGCTTTACTGAATATTCATCCTGACACCCCCCCCCCCCCCCTTTCCTCCCTTCAGATTTTGACAATGGAGGCAAACTGTCCCACTATACTCTTGCTCTTAAGTTATTATTAAAGGTTACTTTTGAAGACCTAAATGCATAAAATGATGAAAGACCTTCAGTCTTGCTCTATTTAACTATTTATCCCCCTAAGGTTTAAAGAAAAATTCAAATAAAGCAGCATTGAATTAATTGAAATGGCACCTCCTGTAATAATTTAATTAGATTGCTGCTGCATTATTGTCTTTTCCTTGAGCATCATTTTCTACATTTCAACAGCATCCTCTGCTTTGTGTGTGTTTGTCTGTCAGCTATGTCCAAAGCAGCGGTGAAGATCTCTGCAGACCTGCTGAGTAACCCTCTTTGTGAACAGGACCAGGCCTTCCTGGATTCCATGACTGCCTTGGATACAGCCATGAGAAGGATGGATGCCTTCAACCAGGAGAAGGTCAGACTCAATCCCACATTTTTGCACACTTAAGATTTTCAGTGTTTTATCTGCGTCTTCTTCTATCTTTCTCTGCTTTCTCTTCTTGGCACATGCCGTTGGCACTGATACCACAAGATTGGTATCGGGGGAAACTTCTCTCCTCAGACATACAAAAAAAAAAAAAAGGAATGAAGACAAGTTTTTGTTGAAAATGCATATTTTCATATTAGTCAATATTGTGCAGCCTGTGGACTAAAAACTATCCGTATGTCTTTCCTTCTGCTGTGTTTAAAAAGCATCTGTGGCATCATCCTCTTTAAGCTCCAGCTACTTGTTATCAGCTGTGAAGATTGATGCATTTGTGACTCACTGACGGCTAAAATAACTTGTACAATGGAAAGAGCTTTTCACAACAAGGGAATACACCACAGCATTCATGCAATTCATATGGTCACAGCTTGTGTAGTGAACACGTCTATTGTAATGCTTGTCTCCCATCACAGCTTTACATTTTGTGGGTACTAACTCTTGAGAAAAGTAAACATAAGGGAAATCACAGACGACATGACATGCCATCTATGGAGCCACACGTAAATTTGGCTTGATGAAGACAATCATTTCCTTCATATACTTTTCTCTTACTTCTTTTGTTACTGATTTGAAATATTTGTGTTTCTTTTTTATCTTTTTCACTCTTGTATGTTTTGTCCTTAGTGGAAACCGTAGATAGGCAGACTTTTTTGTTTTACTATAACTCTAAGCATTATAGCATGCTCGCTCTCTTACAGCTGTACTTTGTGAACATCTCTTCTTTGGCTGTCAGGACTCTCCAGATTATTCGCTGGGTGCACTTCAGGTTTTTGATTAGAATCATTGCCAAAGGTAGTTATAATGTGAATCATAGTGGCACCGCATGTGTGCATCCTCAAGGCACTTCACTGTGAAGAGTAGACTTTTAAAGAGGATAAGATACAATAGAACACAGGAGATCATACTAAGGCATATACCGATTGACTTTTTTCCATCTGTGTTTTCTTGACTCATTGCTCTGCTGTTAGGTGTTCTGGGCTTTTCACATTTGTTGCCATAAAAATATTCCCTTTTCTTCTCACATTTAGTTGTGTACCGGAGTGATTTCATAACCTTTAGACAACAATGATCAAAAAAGGTGGAAAGAATGAAAGCCTTTGTAAAAAAGTGCATTGTCTATTTTATTTTTTATCCCACTCTGAGTCAAAAATTGTAGTTCAGTATCCCAAGAAAAGCGCACCATCTGCATTTTATGTATTGGGTTGAGTGGACATGATTTATATTCCTTCAAAACCATGACCACAAATTTTTTCTCCAATATGTTTGTGCGGCACAGCGTCCGTGCTGGAACCAAAACTTTATTTTTTCTTTAAAAAATTAAATGTTTTCAAGTCTTCTCATCATTGAAAAATCCATCAGTCCCTTTTTTTTGTTTCTACTCAGATTAAAGTTGATCTAAGTCGCAAAGAAAAGAAGAACTACTCTGTTTGGTGAAAAATATGCCTAACGTTTAATGTTGACTAAAGGCAACAATTTAGTAGCAGACTTTTGTTCCTTTTTCTTTTTGGTTTTAACCATTCTTTCAGACTAGCTTCTCACAGCTCATCAAATTTTACTGGAGCAATTTCGAGTGACTAGACACAGTAGAATGTGGGTTGGACGGAGAGTGTGGGTTTGTGACCCGGGGTGTGTATGATCCAGGACTTGGCTTGGTCAAGTGCCTAGAAGAGCAGTTGTGCCAGTTTGACTGTTTTCAGTATGTTGTTTCTCTTACATTCCTCATATTTATAGAACATCACATTTTGTTTTTGTTTTTCATTTTGACTGTTTGAATCCAGAACTGAAGACCCATTTTCACCAGTGTCGGACCCTGCTTGAGCTTGCACAGCCCTCCTCAATACCATCAACTCATTCATTCATTTGTTTTAATGCAATTTTTGATTTTCCCTTTTAAAGTATTATCTAGTTGCAAAAAGAGTGGCATTTATTTATACTGCATAGTTGTGATTCCATATTCTGGCTCCAAGCTGAGTAGTTTTCCAGTTTGGCTCTGCAGCCAGGATGTATTTGACAGTGATTCAGCTAGGCAGCAACACTTTTTCACTTGAGGAGGACAACAGTCACCAACTGTATTGACGTGTTTGTATTATTTTTTTTTTAAACACACTTTGATCCAGAGTGGATTTTGACAGCTAGGTCACACCTGATTTTCTCAGTACTTCTTTCAGTCTTACTAAATAAAAATCCTCACCCTAACACGATGTTCAGTTCCAGGCTTGGGCAGGGCTATGTGGCTCCTTTTTGTAGAGTGGCTGAAAGTGAGCTAAAGGCAGAATAGTGATTGTGAGCACTTTTTGGTCAGTCTGCTGTGTGGAATATCACCTCAGGTTTGCTAGGTGTTTAAAACCCAGCACAGCTCACTGGAACACTACTCCAGCTTCTCCCTTCAAGCTGACTGTTGATTCTAACGGCACCAACAGCAAACCCTATTGCTCCAACAAAACAGACACAAAAGCATCCACCCTTTGCTCTTCTCTCAGTGTTGAGACGAGATGTTCTGCCGCAGGGCCCGTGAGTGAGAGAGCCAGCAGATAAAACGTGCAGCGATAATGAAGGCAGCAGTGGCCCAGGTCTGTGTGTTTATTTCTGGGGCTGAGCAGGGCGCACAGCCCCGCCGGCACACTGCTGCCGAAGCTAAGCCCCAGTGTAGATGGCGGCAGCGCAGTAGAGGATGCTCCGTTTGGAGGGATATTGATTTCCTCTGCGATCTGTGTGTATTTTTGGGAGGCCTGTGTGCCAGGATGGCCTCTGCCCCGTGACTCACTGATGGAGACTACTGCTTGAGCGTCGGCCTCGGGCTCTGCAGGGCCTCTAAGGAATAGCTCCCCCCCCCTTTCTGTGGGAAGGGGCAGAGGGTAGAGGGCACCAGCATGCTTAAGCAAATCTGCCGCTGTTGTTCTCCCTCCTCGCTGCATGCTCTCACCTTAGAAGCAGCGGCGCAGCTCGAGTCGGGGAGGGGGGATGGTGTGAATATGTAAAACAAAGAAAATGTGAATTCCCATGTACTTATTTGTTATTGGTTCTCTGTTTTCCCTCAAACCACAATCAACCATTTTGTACTTGGAAATGTGCCGGTGTGAAGCAGTGAGTGTTGCTGTATGTTCTCAGAGATGGTCAGGGCATTTTTACAAAGCACAGCTGCGATCTTGCTTCCTTGTTGTTGTGTGATTGACTGTCCTTCCAATAGTGAGTGAACATATGATAAGTGGAGCTGCTCACTGTTCTCATGCAGCTGTCACTTCACATCTCGCTGCTTTTAAATTTCTCCTTCACCGTACTTAGCATTTACTCCTCACTTGACTTGATTGCATGGTTAACTTAGCATTCTGTCATACTGGAAGATGTGGTGTTAACAGTCATTTGGAATCTGCAATGTAAATGATGCTGGAAACTTTATTAATTTTGCACCAACTTCTGTCGATGAGACTTGGTGCCGGGGCTGGAGGCCTCAAGATGGGATGTTCGTTTACTTCCATTTAACCCCCCTCCCTTCTCTTCCCTCCTTCCCCTGTCGGTTCTGGCAACCAGAAGGAAAATGTAGAAAAATATAAACTGTTATTGTTAAAATGTTTGTTTGCAAAGAACTTTCATCTTGTACGGCAGCCCACCCTCCACAGGATTTGAAATCAGTGGGGGCTTTGCTTTCATGTCCGTCCCCTGACAGTTTCATCCTTTTGTATCGCAAGCTCAATGAATATTCAGGGTTTTCTCCTCAGGGCTTGTGTACAATAAAAAACGTCACGAAAGTTTCTTTGCGAGCACCCCCCCCCACCCTCCTTATTTTTCTTGAGTGCTCTGTTTGAAATATACACAATTGCTTATGTTTGTTCAGCCGTATTAGTTTAGCAGCTAATGAGAGAGAGATGTACGAGCTATTTTGTTCAGTCTCTAGTTTTGATGTAACTCATGTTGACAATGAATAACAATTTGTAGTTTCACATCCCCTGATATAGAGGTGCTTATTGCCTACATTAACAAAAGATTTATTTTATTTCAGGTCAACCAGATCCAGAAGACAGTTATCGACCCTCTGAAAAAGTAAGTTTCCATTTGAGTTTTTAGTTGTTCTTCTAGAGTTTGTTGTTGCTGCTATGTCAAAGGTTGGCTCTAAATTTATCAATACTGAATCTAGGCCTCATAGTTTTTCTGATAAGTTTAGGATTTTATTTTGGTTTGGCAGAGTGGTGGAGTTTTCCACCCAGGGTGATAAATTGACTGCATAACAAAAGAAAACTACAATACTGTAAAAGCAGTCATGCCCAGTTTTTGTGGCTTATTGTTCCTAATGTTGTAAATCCATATGACACTCAGGGCAGTGTCCCATAATATTTGTATTATTGACCCCGCTCTGCTCTTCACCCTGATGGTGCTGGACCACAGGAAGTCCTGCAGTGAAGTAACATGGATTGTAAAAATGTATTGAGTGGTTCTACTGTGGTGTTAGTGTGTCTGGAAGAAAGTTTATTTGGTTTTCATTCCTAATACTCGCCCCCATTTGAGCAGGCAGTGAGTGCTTTTCCATTCCCTAACGCTCACGTCTTCAGAAATTCACACTCACCAAACACACACAGTACACACACACACACACACACACACACATGCAAAGCAGAGGTACTGAAGGGAGTGGCTGGACAATCCCACCCATCTTCCGGAGAGCTTGTTAAGGTTTGCTTCCTCCTCTTGGCTCCTCCCAGGAGATCCAACATATGCTCTTTAAGAAAGCATGTGCACACGTTTCTATTTCATGTTAATGTTAAACCCCATATGCCTGTTAGCTTGTTTTTGAAAGTATCCAATGAGAAGAAATTCCTACCAAAAAACATGAATGGGTTGGGTGTGTGCGTGTGTGTGTGTGCGTGTGTGTGTGTGTGCGTGTGTGTGTGAGCCCTTTCTTCCTCGTGTACTCTGGTGGCGGAGCAATGACAGGATAGAATGGTTCTAATTTCCTCTTCCTGGTGGGCGGCAGGCGGACGTGTGGGCAGGCTCACAATATGGCAGAGGGCCCAGCTTCATGGGCCCAGAGCTGTGGATTGGTTGAAAAGGAGAACTGTCTCAGGACACTGCATACTCTGACTGTATTTTGGCCATAAAGTAAGGCATTAACATGGTTCTTAAATAAAACAGAGGAAGTTCCTAAATGACTTTTAAAGCTTAAGTGACCTCTTCATTAACTTTTTTTCTCCTGTTGCTATTAGTTATGAGTGTATCAAAGTGTCCTCTATAGAAAACTGAGACACAAAAGCTACTATACTTTAAAGCTTCCATTAAGATTCCATTAGTCCATCACTAATGAATATTTGTCATTGTTTACTTTGTCTACAAATACTCTGTGGTGATCCTGTGTCACAATATTAGTGAAGAGTTGAGAAGGAAAACGTTAATGTTAATGGAAGACCTTGAATGGGTTCTGTGTGTGTGTGTGTGTGTGTGTGTGTGTGTGTGTGTTGGGTACAGCTTGTATCCATGTGTAATTGCTATTAAAAAATTTGCCATCCATCCTTAATTCTTGGTGTGGTAAAATGTACAGTAAACAAACAAAAAGAGGCATCCTCCCACATCTTCCCCCGTGTGCGTGTGCGTGTGCGTGTGTGTGTGTGTGTGTGTCTCTGTCTCTCAGGCCCAGACTTGAGTTCATCCTTCTCAGCGGGGTAACTAAGTGACAGCCCTGTGTTTATGTGTGTGGGGGGGGGGTGCGTGTGCATGAGACATTTGTGTTATCTCGGCCTCCTAACCTAGCCCTTTCTGCGTCGTTGCTCTCTTGGATGAGACAGAATTGAATCCTGTTTTGAGACCTCTACCCTGGACTGAGCACTGAATAGAAAAGCCACATTCAACTGTTTCTGGAGGACGGAAGGACTCTGCCTCTAGAGCAAGAACATAAGGCCAGGAGCCAACCAAGCTATTTAGCCACAGTTGTGGGGATGACACACATTTTTTCAGTGGCAGGAAATCAATTTGATCTAAAATTTGTCTTTGTAATCTCTGTTCTGCTTTGTTATTTACCAATGATTTTTTCCATCCTTTTTTTTTTTTTTCATTTTATCTGGTATTTCATGAAACTAGGCCAGCTACATGAGTTGTCATGAGTTTGGATCAGCAACGTACAAGACAAGTTGTGGCAGATCAAACTCTCCCCTGCTGACACAAAAGAGGTTCTACTGGCATGTACGTCACACAATTAAGTTCCCATGGCCCACTGCCCTGAGCCATTTATACAACAGGTCGTAGTGATTCTACCTGCACAGTAAGCATCATTTTAGAATACTTGCCACATGATTCAACCTTGTCTCACACTTTCAGTCTTTTTCTGAGACATGACACATTGCAGTTTGTAATTTACACATAAACAATGCCCTTTGCCATATTTTTAGTGGTTAGCTGTGTGTTTTTGCTAAAAGTGAGTTATGTGATGGTGGACGTTGAGAGGGACAGCAAGCCTCCTAGACTGAGGGTGTCTAGACCAGACTTGGGCTTGGCTGACGGGACAGCCTGGCCTGTCTGTGGATTGGCAGCTGCTCATAAACACACTCATTGCTCCAGATGCTATTTCCATCCAGCCTGTTCACCACACCCTGACCTGTCACATGGACAGTGGTGTGCCCTTGGCCCCCGCACAGTCCTCAACCAGTGTTAAACCTCACTCAAGCAAATGCACCCGTAGCTGCCTGACCGGTAGTTATCCAGCCAAGGCCAGGACATCGAGGGAAATGTCCGAGGCCTGGACAATTTTAGAACAAACATTCATCACCAAGTCTGTATATTAACCTTCATCCAGGACTCTGCTGCATAGTCTTGCGTGGGAGCCTTTGACACAGCTGAGTCACCATAACTTCTGGCACACAGACACCAGAGTGTAACTGTGAGACAACTGGAGCTAGTATGAGAAAGACAAGAAAGGGTTAACAAGCAATTGGCTTTAAGTCTAGCTCTTCTTCCTCCTCTTTCAGTGCCAGGAGAGTAGCGGCCCTTACTTACTTCCTCAGTTTTCTCATAGATAGTAGTGGCTGACAGTGATCACGGTGTCATAAGGAAATTTCCCCGTGCTGTCAGGTGAAGTGTGCTGGTGAGAATGCCATCAGCCGAAAGCTGGTTTGCCGCTACGTTGTCAACAGCCAATAGGATCGTGTTGGAGTGCAGTCATGCCTAGAGGGCAGTTACATAATCCCTTGGCGCTTCAAGTATGTGTACACTGGAACAGATAGTAGACTTGAGGATCGGCATCCACCCCTGCCATAAACAGGGCCAAAGTGGTATTTTATAAATAGCGGTAGAGCGTGGGCCGCGGGGCTGGGCTGAGCTAGGCTCTGTGATGTCACTCAAATGCTACAAGACCACTCCTTGCTTAACTTCCTGTAGTAAACAATCATTGCTTGTCTGACTGAGCTTAGGTTCACATCACTTTTACCCCCCAGAACTTAGCTAAGGTACAAAGGCAGCTGTATTATTGTATTTCACAATCAGTACACAGGTTATCAGTTGTTACTGCTGATCAAAGCAGGACAAGGACTGACATTAAAAGGAAAATAAATCCTGAAGCCCACACATTTTGTGGCCAATTACAATATGGGAGGAGGCACACATATTAAACTGTTGTAGTAGTGCTCCTACACAGATGATGAAATGCTTTAAATGAGTCATTCAAAAATGCTATAGCTCACTCTGCATTCTGATTGTTTTTATCACTGACTCACATGTAGCAGACACCTGGGTGAATAATCTTGTGGCCTGCTTGAAAACACTGTCACTGCTCTGTGTTTACATGAAAGAAAGGTCAAGCAATTTCTTTCTTATCGGAAGTTAATTTCTTCATGTTTGCCTAGTTTTAAATAATAATAATAATAATAAAAGTTTATTTATATAGCGTGTTTCGCAGACAAAGGTCACAAAGTGCTTTACATCAACAAAAAACACAAAAACAGCATACATACAATGAAAGAAGAAAAATGAGTACGTCGTGGACAACATTATAAAATCCTGCTATAACCAGGAACAATAAAACATAGATGAGTAGGTACACTGGGTGGACCTGATTAACCATAGGCCGGTCTAAACATTAACGTCAAATAGCTCATGCGCTATCTTATGTCCTTTGTCTTTAAAGAAATAATAAAAAATGGAGCATAACTACCACACTTTAAAGAATAATGGTGGGCCTTTTATTAATTTATTACACTTTATTTGAAAGGGGCATATACAATATACAAAGACATCCTGAAAACAGCCGACGCAATTATCATACTGTTTATAGTGGATGTTAATTTGCCGCGTCTGTCCCTAGAACGGCTTTTGTGTTAATAAAAGATTATAACATTTTAAAAATGTTCTGGACAATAATGATGCATTAATCTTGTAGTTATATCAATTGTTTTTATCTCTCATTCATTCAATTGTTTACTATATATTGGGTTGAATATTCCTTCTATATATTATTCCTGCTTCCCATTATAAACAGCAATAGCACCAGTGCAACAAGTCCCAGGATGAAGCTCAGACTCCTGTTGCTAAGTTACAGATGAGTGTTTTCCTATTTTTAGTGCTGAAGACCAGGATTCCTCTTGCAAGAATATATTTTCATTTGGATTATGATAATTGTCACAAAATGAATAGTTTCATGCCGTTTTGAACTACAGTAATTAGATAATAGATTAGAAGAAACTTAATGCAGAGCTGTCCTCTGGGGTTTGAGAGTACCTCTATAATAATATGTTGAGGAGAAGGATTTTATTAACTCATAATGACTTTTATTAAGCGAGCATGTGATAGAGAATGTACTTCATAGAGAGAAGACAGCTGCTTTAATGATTTTAGTTTCTCCTTGAAGGATTCCTTGATTTTATTCCCCCCATTTAAGTGTGTGTCTGGATATTTTTTGATTACATGATTGTATTTGTGTGTGTATTTTGTATAGTGCCCTGTTCGTCATCCCAGAAAATGCTAAGATTGTCTGTTTGCTTCGTGCAGGTATGGTGGCGTCTTCCCCAGCCTCAACATGGCAGTGAAGCGCCGCGAACAGGCGCTGCAGGACTACAAACGACTGCAATCTAAAGTGGAAAAGTATGAAGAGAAAGAAAAAACTGGGCCCGCCATGGTCAAACTACATCAGGTACTGTGAGTCGAAAGCGTGCATCAGTGCACGTGTTGGTCCACTCCAATGCTACCTCTATCTGCACAGGAGCAGAGTTCACCTTCTCTTGCATGTTGCACGTATTTTGAATAGAGCACAATAAGTGGGAAAAGACACAAATGCTGACTGGGTATGAACAGAAATAGTTGAGCACATGCATACTGTACATGTGCGCTCCTTCACCCACGCAAGCTACCAGGCTCTCAAGTAGTGCCTTTTCAAAAAGGCACTGCTGCACATCTACAGGCACGTAATTGAGAATTGTAGACACACACATACACAGTATGAAGCCACTACAGAAGCGCACACATTCACAGATAGCGCTGCAGTGTTGCCTATGCTATTGCCTCTAACACATCCTCACATGGCGAGCCACCCACACACGTTGAGAAAAGCACTGTCAGGGGAACAAAGCCTTGAAGAGGCCCCTGCATCCCTGCCCTTTGAATCCATGTGCACTTAAAGAAATGATCCTAACAAAACTCTCGTAGGCCATTTTAACTGGTTTGTGTAAAAAAAAAAACTAACTAATGACTACACCATAATGCAGCAGCTAAACAATATGTAGTTTGAATATAGCAGCTACCCCTTCCCCTTAATAAAAAAATTCTCACCCTCTCACACACATATCCATTGTGCATTCCATAACTCCATGCCTACAGAAGACTACCCACTAATACATTCACACACAGATCAGTGGTGCTGGAGTCCACTCACAGCCAAGTCTGCCCACATTACCCACTCCTCCTCACTGTGGTCGTGATTACAGCCTTTTTTTGCACTGCTTCTCCGTTGGAATTAGGCAAATATCTCTCTGAACAATAAGAAAAAAGCACACAAGAGATGGCTCCAGTGTTGAAATACTTTAAACTAACTTGTTTTTCTTAACAGGTTTTTGTTTTTCTCATTATGTGCAACACCAGTGTTTGAGGAAGAATGTGATGAAAAAAAATGGCATGATTTTGAAGGTTAAATGAGTGGATGTTATGTAAATTTAAAACTGCCAGTTACCGCTGGTAACCTGTTCTTTTGTTTCCTCTGCACCCAAGGCCAGAGAGGAGCTGCGACCAGTCAAGGAAGACTTTGAGGCCAAGAACAAGCAGCTGCTGGACGAGATGCCCAAGTTCTACCACAGTCGCATCGACTACTTCCAGCCCAGTTTTGAGGCTCTTATCAGGGCCCAGGTTAGTAATCGCCCCCATGGGGAAGCACACACAATGGAGCACTCACGCCTGCACGCTCACCCACCCTTCAATGAGCTGTTACGCCCTGATTGTTGGTTAAACAGCGTATAAAGTGTCTGATGGAAGGGAGTGTATAATCCTGGGAGTCTGTCTCCCTCTACGCAGCCCTAATGTGATTAACCCCCAGCGACGGCCCACACTACTGCGTTTAGTCCAGGAAGGCCTCCACTGTCTGGCTCCGCTGCAGCCCTGCAGAAAGACATTATCCAACCTGAAGCTTCTCTTAAAGCAGCTGGGCGTCTCAAGAGAGCGCCACCATGTCCCCCTCCCCCGCCCCACACCTGCCTGCCCTAGTCATTTCCTCTTTGGGACTGTCACTGGCACACTCCTAATTGGTAAACTAGATTATCCTGGACCTAATGACAATGATGGAGTTCTATGAAGTACTTTGAAGTTAGAATCGGCTGTAAACCACAAACTGAGCTTATGTTCTTTTTTCTTTTAAGGTTAAATCATGTTTTTAATCTTGTTTCATGTGCTGCAGGACCTCTTATTAGTCAAAATAAGTCAATTTTAATGTTTCCCTATTATGTTTATTCATGTAGCTTACACACATGAATGAGCATCCACAAATGTTAACACACTCGCAGCCACACGTGGGTGGCCAGTTGAACAGAGGACCTCTTCCCCAGCCTTGCTGCTGCTGCTGCTGCATGTGCTCAGTATTATCCTCCACTCCCTTCTCCCTTCGCTGTTGCTGCTCCGCTCCCAGCGGCAGCAGGAAAAGACACAAAGGCTGCTTTTGTTGTGAGCCTTCAGCTTCATGAGTCCCATCCAGCGACTGTCAGTGGGACACTTGGCCTGACCTGTCCACCTGTACAGATGTTACTGAATTGAGACATTGTCTTGAATCTCTGTTGCATTTGTTCATTCTAAAAAACACATGATTACATTTTTTCCCTTTCTTTGTTTCCTGAAACAGTGGTCTCTCATTGTTTAAAGACTTCCTGAATAGAACACGACTTAAATTATTTATTATTTTGTAGGCTTAGAGGTCAAAGTGTAATCTCTCTGTATAAATACTAAGTAGCTTGGGACTGGGGTATGTGAAATGTACAGACAGAAGTCATGTTAATTGAAGCTCTGCTTTACCCAAAGGCTCCTCTCTGGATCGTAGGTGGTCACAGTTGTATAAGGCTGCGTTTACTCCTCGTGGTGACTCGACTAATTGTAATAATAGTGTCTTCTCCTACAGAGGGCACCCAGACACTGATATGGTGTACATTATCATCACTGGCCATATGGACATTTCCGATGGTCCTGTCAACAAGCCACTTTTCAAGGAAAAAATATCCGCTTTACCCCCACAAACAGCAGTTACCCGATACTTATGGCCCACTCATGTGGTTTAGGTGGCAAATATTGGTATAAACATCCACAGGTCCCTCAGACTGAGCACTTAAAAGCCTGACCTGAACAAAGTCGTTTGGAAGATTTTTTTTTGCCTGACATAGTCAAATCTTCTCATGACAGAGTGAGTCGAACATTATTTCTGAAACGAAGCGTGATTTGTCGTTCATTTCCAGCTTGACCTAGCTCTTATTCTGTCACGGCCCTGAGCGAATCAGGAAGCGTTTCTCCTACTGCAATCTTGGTTGGTCTTTCCGTTTTGGCCTACAATAGGACACACATGCAATTTCAAAGAAGCCAACAATGCCCCCTTAAGAGCATGCTTTATCGTACGCATCTCTGCATGAATAAATATTGAGATGTGTGTGTGGGTTTCAAGGGGTTGTATTTCCCAGTACTTTCATTCTCTGCCTACTCTTCTGGAGTCTTGTAATGTGATTAAAGTCTATTAATCATCAAAGCAACTCTCAGGGGAGCCTGACTCATGAACTAAGGGGAAGAAGCAGGGGTGGGAAGTGTCAAGAAAGCTTTCAGCGAACACTCTCTATCTCTTGTTCAGATTGTGAGAGAAAAGCAGGGTCACTACCCGCTGAAGTGCTGGGTTTTTTGGGGCTTTGTCGGAGTTGTTTGATATCTGTGGGCTTCCTCTTCTCCTCTTGAATCACTTCTCATTAGCAGGGTTGAAGAGGTTTGAGACCAGCAGCTTCCAAATAGTGTAAGTAAAAGTAAGGTTAGACACTGCGAGTGGAACAGAGTTTGAATTTGGAGGGGTTTTTTTCTGAGAAGCTTTGAAGAAATGTCTGTGGATTGACTGTGTCCAATCATCACTTTTCTTCCTACCATCACAAACTAAGTCTTTGTCTTTTTCCTTTTTGCCCCCAGGTTGTCTATTTCACTGAAATGTACAACATCTTTAGCGACCTCACAGACCAGATCGACCAGGCAGGGTTGACTGATGAGCAGAGGGAGAGGGAGACCGAGGCCAAGCTCAGCGAGTTGCGTGCTTTGTCCATTGTCGCTGACGACTGAGAGAGGCGAGCAGAAACACTGAGAAGGGCTCCTTTCATGCCTCTCTAAATGGATTGCACTCTTTTCAGGCTCCTTCGCGCAGCTCAAAGAGACAGCAGAAGCCTTAACCTGATTATTAGTTTGTTTCCTTTATGGCCTCATCACCCCTCATTCCTCTTGCACTATATTCTCATGTCTCATTCCCTCTACAAAAAAACTCTCTGAGCAGCTGAAATGCCACATTAACTAAGCCATCAGCCAAGTGCAACATTATAAGCCAATATGTTGTTGTTTTTTTCAGTAAGGACTCAAACAATTCTCGTCAGAACTAATTAACAAGGTTACACTTCTTGGTTTCAGAGATGTCTATAGACAATTGTTTCCAAAGTAGGAAATGAGCTCGGAAGTGTTTTTATTGGTCTCATCTGCTATGTCACCCACAATCTGTGAAATACACTTTTTATTACCCAACTCTGAAATTACAAACACTACAGACTGAATGTTACTTAATGTACTGCAGGTTATCAGCAAGAAAATGTTTTTCTGGGTTTTTTTGGGCCTCAGCTGGTTATCTCAGTATTTAGCTCAGTGCCATGTTGTGAGGGCTTTTCACTGGGGTGTACAGGATGGTGTTGTTAGCATCACCCTTGCATTTTGTGCCTACATTTTCCTGACTGTGGATGTGAAAACATGCTTGTGTTAAGTGGGATGGTGAAGCCGCGTCTGAAGGTCGATCACTGAGGCTGCGGAGAGAAGAACTTGCCGTTTACTGAAGAATAACTGTCCAAAACAAAGGCTGGTGCTCCCTCTGGTGGAAAACAACAATCATGACACACTATTTCCTTTTGTTCAGCCAGCTATCAATTGTGCAATTGTTGTGCTTCAGTTTGTCTGTTTGCAAGAATTGAAATCATTGATTTCTAGGTTGCACCAACACCTACACAAGGAAATGACAACTGCTTTTCTTAACTTAACAATAAGACAAAAACAATAGGAAACATGTTGTTGAAATGGCAGAGGAAACTGTAGAAGCAAATATTTTGTTCATATGGTCAGACTGTTAACCAGAGGTGCATGAAATGCAAGTAATATTTTTTTTTAAAAACAACCTACAGAGAGTCCCGTCTTTGTAACATCTGCACCAGGGACCAAATCAAGCTGCCCTTCCATCCCTTTGATTATGAGCTAAGTCAGGTACAGCCTCAGTACGATGAACATGCTCTGGTCAATGGGACTAAAATAATGATTGTTCACAGATCATGTCAGTAGATTTCTTTGGATTTGTCATACCATAATTGATGTTTTCATTTTAAGTTATCAAAGGAAAGTTTCAAGCGATGGTCTTTGTGTTCTGTAACTTAACTGTCTAAGTGAAGGTGTTTTTCTAAATAATGAAGTTTAAAGATAAGATAGTGGATATTTTTTATTAACATTACATTTAGTTTGTGTTAGGGTTTTGGATGTATTAATATTACAATCTGTTAAACTGTCATGTCAGCACGCAATCAAAAGTGAAATAAAATGATTTAATGAAATGATTTATTATTATATGCTGCTTGTAAGTCTACTGCATGAGTTCCAGTGTGAGTGCAAGAGTTGTGATATTTTGTCATGTAACATTTAATCACAAGTATTTTCTGTAACTAACCTTTATTTCTGTTTAGTTTCACATCACTGGAATAAGTAATGTCCTGTCAACAATCTCAGTATAAGCAATATATACAGTTCAGACATTTTTGTTTCTACAAATTATTGCTGGTTAAAACCCTCGTTAGTTTAAAAAATGTAACTTTAGGTGAAGGTTAAAAAAGAGAAAAGATTTATCAGTAAACCAAGTCGTGAATCTAATCTCTGAATTAATGTCAAAGACAACAGTGACATTGGAATAAAAAAAAAAAAGGAGATGTGGTTTGGTTGCATTGGTCTAACCTGTTATGTGAAGAGTTAAAACATTTTGTGCAAGAGGTGGATGTGAGGTAAAACTTCATCAATATCCCAAAATATACCCAAGTATGAGATAAGGCACTGCTAGACGTTAAGTGATTTTTCTGCTCCCAGGTCCATGTCCCATGTTTCCCTTCTTCGACAACAGAAGCCTCTATGTGTTTACTGAACAGAGTCCTTTATATGGCCGTCTTGCTGTACATGTTGGATATTTGTTCCTGGAAGACTCTGCGGATGTCTGCACGTCTACTTTTTAGCGTCGGGGTGAGAAGGCCATTGGCGATACTGAACGCCTCTGGGTGCAGGTAAAGGTCCTTTACCTGAAGGGAAAGACAAAAAAAAGTTGGCATCGTGGGGGTTTGTGCCTACTCATAAAAAAACTGAGAAACTCCTTACTTGTTCAAAAGACTTTAACCCTGCTTCCTTCCCGACAGCTTTCATATCCTCTAATACTTCCTTCTTTACATCCTGATGGAAGATCAATAACCCAATCACTTTGGTTCAAAAGTATAAAGTCATCTTTAGTGATCAAGAGAAATGATTAAGGACTTATTAAACATACATGATTCTGGCACAGCTCTTCATATGATCCCACAATTCCTCGCTCTTTTACCCAGTCGACAAATACTTCAGGATCAGGCACAACTATGCCTATTAGAAAAGACTAAACACGAGACAAGAGAAAATCAACTCTTTAGACCACAACATGTTAAGTCTGCTTAGCTTTGGACCACATTCATCGTTTGTATGGTATTGTACCTGTAAACTATCTCCGTGCACAAACACCTGCAGCACAGGAACACAACGCATGTAGACATTTTCAATCTTCTCTGGAGCAATGTACTCTCCCTGGGACAACTTGAAGATGTGCTTCTTCCTGTCAATGATGCGGAGTGTCCCGTTCTGATGGAAGAAAGTACAAAAAAAAAAAAACATTTGCTCTCTTGCAGTAGTCAAGAAAATAATTATCTTTCAGTTTAGCTCAGATTATCTTGTGTAATCTTACTGGGAGCCACTGGCCCACATCACCACTGTGCAGCCAGCCGTCACTGTCCAAGGCCTCAGCCGTCCTTTCTGGGTCCTTCAGGTAACCTCTGAACACACTGGGGCCACGAATACAGATCTGACAAAAGAAGATGTGGAGAACTTCAGCACTACAAAAGGTTTTTTAGTCAAATATGTCGTTTGAAATCTTTATATTAGCACACCTCTCCGTCTCCGTTCTTAGCATAGTAGTTCATGTCGGGGATGTCTACCAGCTTCACCATGGCACAGGGCAGAGGAGCACCAACATGACCTGACAAAGACACATCCACACAACTCCTTAGCACAGCGTTAACAGATGAGGCACACACACACACAGAAACAAGCAATTCAGAGAAAACAAGTTTAAAATCAGAGAGACCACAGATGACATAACATGAATCTTCAAATAGTTCAATAAAGAGATCGGCATACAGATTTTTGATGCAAAAAAGTGCTTTTTGTCATTTCGAAAATGGCAGGTTTTGGGGTTTTCAGCAGTTGGTTTAACAAAAACAATTTTAAGACACCAGTGGGCTCTGGGTAATTGCGATGACCCTTTTATCTCAACTTTTCAATCAGCAAATCGGAAAAATAATTTTTAATAACAGATTTTTTTTTTTACAATTGTTCACAATGTAAAGGTTTCTGACCTGCGATCCAGTCTCCCGGCATAGAGAAAGTACAGCCTGCGGTGCACTCTGTCTGTCCATAACCCTCAAAGATCAGACAGCCCAGCGTGGCTCTTAGAAAGGACAGCACCGTGGGGGAGATGGGTGCTGAAGCCGTCAGGGCAAACCGCAGATTTCCCCCTAAGTTGGCCTGATATACAAGTCATGCAGGCAGAGTATAAGTATGGTTAAAAAAAAACAATTGTCTTGTAGATACAAGGAAGAAAAACATAACTGCATTTTGTTTTCACCGCAGAAAATATTTCTGTCTACATTGACCATACTGAGCCAAAACATTCCCACTTCTCCAATACACTCCCAGAGGACTGAAGCGCTCTGGGTGATTTTGGCATTGATTACTGGAACACTGCTACGCTTGTAAAGTTTGGATAGAAATACATTCACTATATGCAGGGCTGCTGGTGCACTTGAACTTTTGTGTCGAGTTCTGCAAAAATATAGGCAGTGACAACTTTAGGGTTCAGTGATTGATGGGAAATAAGTCGTTAAAAGACAGGTGGGTAATGACAGTTTCATTGGAGGTGGATTTCTGACAAGCCACTGGCTGTGTAGGTCTTAAGTTGTGATAATTATTAGCAGCAAAATAGGGAAAGTAAAAATGGAGCTTCAAACAACTGACCTGGATCCTGTTGAACACCAGTTTGTCCCACAGACTGTTGTTTCGCACAATGCCGCTGCTGAGCTCCGCCTGTTTTCTCTTCACAGCATAGTGGAGCAAAGCTCGACGCAAAGGAGAGGTCACCGAACCCAGGATCTTCACAGAGATCAGTGAAAATGTTCACAAACACAACCAAAAAAACTGATGCTAGCCTTCTGAGTGCCCCATAGGCCCTCCAAGGTTATATAACATTTGAATGTTTTTACTGACCTTGTCATAGATGCGATTGAGTAAGCGAGGGACAACAGGGAAGAAGGTCGGCTTTAGAGTTTTAATGTCATCCATGAGAAGAGAAATGTCGCCCTGGTAGAATCCTACTCTGGCCCCATGGCAGAACATGGAGACCTGAGACAGAGATAAATGTACCTCATGTTTAAACACACACACACACACACAACCATTAAAACATGTCTGAGAGTTGGATCAACTACCTGAATCATCCTTTCAAACATGTGGGCAAGTGGCAGGTATGAGATTGACACATCCTCCTGCCGGATCACAAACGAACCCTGAGAGAAAACAGAAAAATGAGCAAAGCACAGGGGAGCGATAAAAGCCTCGCAGGCAATCAAACACACCGTACGTCTTTTTCAGCAGCAGTTAGATAGCAGAGTCTTTACACAGGGGCAATTAGTTAAAGTACCTGGCAGCGACAGGGGCAATCAAACAGCCAATTAATCATACCATTAGCCACAGCAGGGAAAGGGACAGTTCGGAGACACAGAGACACACGCAGACGGGATGTGATGCTAGCTGTGAGCCTGTTCTCAATTAAACAAGGAGGTGGAAATGTAGACAGACCTCCAGGATCTTAATGACAGAGGAAGTGTTGGAGGCGATGTTGCCGTGGGTGATCATGGCTCCCTTGGGCTTCCCTGGATAAATAAACAAGGCATTATTGCAGTGCAAAGGAAACTACAGCGGTGCCATGAGGAGAGGTTAGTTAGTGGGCACTGAAGGACACTTGTCTAACGATGTGAGTGAAGGATAATTAGGCAGAAATCAGACGCTACCTGTGGTTCCACTGGTGAAGCAAACCACAGCCAGATCCTGAGGCTGGGGCGGCTGCAGCAGGAGGCAATAAAACATGAGAATGTGACAACAGGCTACCTCCTCACTTAATTTAAGCCATGTTTACAAGTGAGCGTTAATGATATCTTATAAGGATAACACTATAATCCTGGAATTTAGCGGAGGATTAGCTATATACTGGGACCAGTTTGATGTAGCAGCTGATAGACTCACCACAGGATCTTTGAGGTTCTGCCTGCCCAGGTTCTAAGAAGTGGACAAGGAGGAGATATTCAGGCAATTTACATATCACCATGGATGGCTTAATTAAAGGGGAAACACTTAAATGAGTCTACATTACAGGGACGTAGTACTTCCAACCCGCTCACCATGAGCTGCTCCAGTTTCAAAACCTCCACCTCACAATTCTCCGCCCTCTGCACAAAGGCCTCGCTGAAATCATCAAAGAGAACCAGGCAGGAGAGCGTCGGAGTCACGCCTCTCTCCTTGTTCTCCAACAGAGCCGCGGCTTTCTCCTCCCGGTCACAGATCACCAGAGAGATCTCAGCTAGGAAGACACCAAAAAAAACTCACATCCTTTACTAAACCTGTGCAGGAATGTCAGAGCAGTCAAATGTCAGCCGTCAAACGCAAGGATATCAACTAGGGGTCATCAACTACATTTGTACAAGGGACAGCTTTTTTCTTGCTAGACACTGTGGGGGCCGGACTCTAAGCTGTCAAGCCAGATGTGAAGAAGTTGGTCTCACCTAATGCGAGTATTTCAGCCTTGGGATTTTAGTTTTATGTTTTTTGTTTAATCGCCTGAGACAAATGAATACTCTGGGGGCTAGATGGGAAACCATCAACATGAACTACAGGTCTTAACTGGTAACCAGTGGTGGACAGTAGGTTACCGTATGTAGGATCTTATTCACATTTTCTATTCAAGTACAGTAATCGTATTGCTAGAACTGCTCATGACTTCACGTCACAATTTTGAAGTCAATTTTGCTTTTAAAACATTTTTCCCCCTCAAACGCTCTTTCAAAGTTATCACTGTTTGTGTCATTATCAGATCTTCTTAAGGGTGATGCTTATCTAGACTTTGAGACCACATGGTATAAAAGAATCCAATATTTTCACTAAAAATAAAGTCAAATAAGTTGAATATAAAAATGAAACCTGAGATAGAACAGGCACTTTA